CTATTTCAAATGTAAACAATCAATGGCCGCCATCAAAAAAAGGCGTAGCGGCACTTAAACAACTTTAAAATTGTTGGTAATTCTAAAAATATTGCATGCAGATTTACTAAAGGCATAAAAAACTTAACCGGAAGATAAAAACAACATAATTCAATCATTTTTAAAGCAAAAAATGTACAATTTACAAACATATAAGAGTAAAGAAACTGAGATCACTGAGCCGGGTAACAGAGTGGATATCGATTCGTATATATAAATATATTTATATACGTTTGGTGTGGCCGATTGCAACCAAAATACGAGGTGCACATCTGCATGTTATAGCAGTCCTATATACAAAATTTCAACGTTCTGAGGCTACTCGTTTTTGACCTATGCGAGAATACGTACGTAAGTTTGTACGCACGTACGTACATACATTCGTACAGACGCCACGAAAATTTCTCTTCAGAATTAATTTTAAAGCAGTTTTATAATTTTTTTGGAGGAAACGAGTCCTTTATTCTGTCCTTACGTACAGATATCACGCAAAAACATCGTTAAATTGCATTCGATAGCGGTCAAAATGGATATTTTCCTTGAAATATGCTGCCTGAAATTTTCACGTTTACAATACTTCCTTTTTACTTCCTGTAGGAAGTAAAAGAAACTCTTTTTTTCCCTTTTTACTTCCTAGGAAGTAAAAAGGGGAAAAAAGAGGGAAAGAAGGTACTGATTCGTATAATAAACTTTATCTCAAGGAACTATTATAATTATGGCTTTTGGTCTACTATTATTATACCTATTATAACTATTTTAATTATATCTAATAGATATGATATCAGTCAAAATTTCAATATATATTATATACTATTTTAAGTGCTAACTTTAAAAATTATACATGATCATGTCTATAAATCTGCTAATTATGAAACCAACAATACTGACAATGAAATATTATGAACTATTGCAGTTACTAATGTTAATGATCTGTTATAATTATTTCTGTTGTCTAAAACAGCAATAATTTTGCCACATTTACCAATATCCTATAAAAAACTATTATCAACTATATACAAACTATACATGAACTATATGGCAAGGAACTATTTTTGAACTATATCCCAATATATTACTTTATAGAACTTTTATAAACCATTATTATAATTATAAACTATTAGGAATTATACATCATTGAATTATTTATTATACATCTTTTGAATATAGTATATACTGCGTTATATTTGAATATGTACATTGAACTACATTACTGAACTTAATTTTACTAAACTAATTAATTCGAATTCTCAAAACTATATTATCTATTTATAACTAGCCAAAATTATAGTATATTAATTGTGTTAAATGTTATTATAAAAAATATATATGTATTGCAACCACCAAGACCAAATTGTACAAGTCGAAGCTGGATATGTATCCAAAGCATGTAAGTGCGATGGCACCATCTGTTAAATGTTATATATATTTTTGTATACATTTTCGAAATTTTAATAAATGCTCGGGGTCTTGGTTGAGAGTCCTTGGGTTCACAGGAGGTCTCGGGGCTGTCGGTGTGGGGTGAAACAAATATTTCGTGTCACGACGGCTCGGTGGGTCTTGTGATCTTCTGGTTTTCTCTAAACCAAAATGTAGTGGGACTATACCTACATTACTTATAGTAAACATTGGGTGTTCCACTACACTTTCACCTGAATCTTACCTGATAAACCAATACATCCTTAAATATCTTAAGAAGGTATTGCCAAAAATCTCTGCCGCACAAACGGTATAGTGGTTAATAACTCTGACTACCTTACTTAATGGACCTGAGTTCGAATCCCGGAGAAGGCAGGGATGCTTGTAAGCGTATCGTGTCTGTTCAGCAAGGGGGTGCCTGAAATACGTGCAGATCCGAAAGTCCTCTAGACAAGTTGGAGTGGGAGACTTTCGGAACCACTTGATTTTGCTTATTTCCAACTTTTCACCATTTCTTACAATAATTTCCTTTCGGACATTCGATTCAAAACCTTAATAATCAAATTATTACTATTACTAACTGAGAACATATTTGCAACAAAAATTAACTGGTTTCTAATTTAATCCCTCTCATTTGTAGCTCATTCTGCTAATCCATTTTCCTTCAATCGTACTGTCTTCTCTTAACATATAAAATTCTGTTCTGACGAAACTGACAGATTAAAAGAACAGCAGGAATCTAGAGCAGTTTCCATTAAATACATGAAACATAAGATTAATTTATTTTCAGTTCACTTTCGTATATAGAAGAGTTAGAGTATCGTCATTCGGTTCTTAGCGTGTTATTATTAAGCAAAGTACAAGATCCTTTAACTTACTGAAATTAAATAATTCAATTTGTTAATAAACTGTTTGAGTTTAAAAGAAATAAATGCAATATATTTAATTAATATAATTAGAATGTATTGAATTTATAATACAAGCACCTGTTGCAACTTTGCAATTAATAAAAGGTGTGTTAGACTTATCACATTTCGGTGAGACTAAAATGAGACGCTGGGATAGCACTAAGAAGACGAGGATTAATCGTCGTAAAGTAAAATGACAGAAATGCTTTATATACCTTGTACAAGAGGTGATCAAATGAAAAGGTACGAAACGACACGGTGGGTACAAATGTAGACTTTATTCAAAATATACACCATAGGCCTGAGCACAACGATCCCACTGATGAACAAGCCGCAGGATTCCTTGTTCCCAGAATTCCTGTGGCCGTGACGAGACCCAGTCCATCACAGCGTCATTAGTGCGTCGTCCGAGTTGAAGCGCTTCCCTTTCAGGTGTTTCTTCAGTGGACCAAACACATGGAAATTGCAGGGCGACATGTCCGGATTTTAGGGAGGATGGTGCAACGTCTTCCACTTGAACTTGGCCAGTTCTATGTATGTGACTCTGGAGACGTGTGGACGCGCGTTATCATGGAGCAGAACCCGACCCTTCATGAGCAGCCCCGATCTTTTGTTCTTGATGGACCTGCGCAGGCGTCAGAGTGTCTCACAGTACACAACGGAGTTAATGGTTTTTCTGTGCTCGAGGAATTCCACAAGTAGCGGACCTTGAACGTCGAAAAAGACGGTGAGCAACACTTTGCCTGCTAACGGCACGGCTTTGAACTTTTTAGGGCGAGGTGACGACGCATGCTTCCACTGCATGCTGTCCCGCTTTGTCTCTGGCTTGTAGTGATGTCATTAGGTCTCATCACCTGTGACGATCCGCTCCATGAAAGCGGGGTCTTCCTGATACCGAAACAGATGTTGCAGTGCTAGCCCTATACGCAGTTCCTTTCGCTGGTCGGTGAGCTGCTTTGGAACCCAAGCCGCACACACCTTCCGATATCGCAGCCTGTCGTGAACAATTGTCCACACGGTTCCATAGCTGACATCCACCTTCATCGCCAACATTCGCAATGTGACACGCCGATCACTTCTCTCTAAGTCGTCCACCTTGTCGATGAGATCGCTCATGATGACAGTGTTTGCCTGGTCTGGTCTCGAGTCATCACCCACACTCTCACAGCCTGCACGAAAACTGGCACTCCATCTTCTGACAGACTTGTCAGAGACACATTTGTCCCCGTAAACTGTCTCCATCCGGCGATGAAAAGCTGCCGGTTTCTCAACTTCCGCTGTCAGAAATCGGATAATACCTCGCTGCTCCTCAATCGTCGAATTTTGCAACGCCAACGCCATCCTGTCCTCATACGGACTGCCGCATCATTTGGACGCCGCTTTTGATTAAAAGCCTCTGCTCTCTCCTGTGCATGCGGAAGCCAGCGCATGCTCCGATTCCAGTCAGACCCTCCAATCGCATCCCGAGATGTCTCGCTACGTTCTCCCATGGCGGAATATGCAAATACTTAACTGTTACGTTTTTACGTCGTTTCGTACCTTTTCATTTGATCACCCCTTGTAGAGTTTATCGATATTCTTAAAAATTTAAAGTCCAAATTATAGTTTATCTTCGCCTTTCATTTAATACTTCGTAAATAGCAATTTAAATTCCACTTCGGTAATCTGAAACTTCTTTTTCAATTCATTTATACAGAAACAAAATATTCATGATTATAGTGTGAGTAAAAAAATAAAAAACGAATCGAAGCTCATCGTGATATATTTAAAATAACGATCTTAAATTATTACCAACTTTGCTTTTCTACAATAGCAAATTTTGAATTGCAAATGGCATTCGAGACAGATTACTAGTGTCATATGTCTGAAATTCCTAATTGCCTTGCCTCTATACTCAGAACGAACATTTTTAGAAAAAAAAAAAAAAAAAAGTGTTGCTTTTGTTTTCGATAATTTTTACTTTTTAGTTTAAAGAGGCATTTACCAGAAGGACTATTAACTTCGTTTTGGCATTTTGCTTCGATTCACGATAAGCGTTGTTTCACTTTTCAAATTGTTGCCAACAAATATTATCGCCCTGTATTATATTTAAAGAAATTAAATAATGAAGAATCTGCATGAATGTATGTATGTTTCTCATATTGTGATAAAACAACAGTATCTAGAGCCATCGAATTTTTAATAACGTCACCTTCCACTGAATGTGGGCATCTGGAAGCAATGAATTTGGAATTCGAAATTTGTTTTATTATCGATTTCATATTTTATGACACTTTAACGAATTTTTGATTAAGAAATTTGATGAATTCAAAGCGAGCTAAAGAAACACTGTACCGGGAGAAGGAAAAAAAAAATTATCTCCAGCGAGCGAGACTGTGTATCTGAAATTCTAAAGATATGCTCATTTTAAAATTATTTTGCGATATTGCTGTTCAATTGAATTTTATGGTTTGAGTACGTAGAACATGATATTTAATAAATAAAGTCAACACACAAAACATTAAAAAAAAACCCGCCCCTTTAGAAGTAATTTAAAATCTTAAACCTTTCATTTTTTTTTTTTTTTTTTTTTTTTTTTTTTTTTTTTTTAAAGCGTAGCTTATCTTCATTTTAATATGCATCTTTTTTGTTTTCTAGCATCTTCAGAGCGGCAAATCATGGGAACTGGTTGTTCCACCATGAAACATGTTCGTAAGACGTTTCGAAAAAATACCATAACAGCAAAAAGTCTGACTACCGAGTAAGTATAATTAAGTGCTGAAAAATGCTACGCTATTCGCCATTGTGCATGCTGCCTCCAGGAACATTAATAGCATCAACTGTGTATCATCAAATCTTCACTGTATTATTATTCAAATTTCAGCGTTAAAAATTATTTTTAGCACGGTAGCTTCAAATAAAATATAAGAAAATTCAAAAAATATTTTAAATAAGGTAATTTTAAATAAGGACGATTGAAAGCTTTTTAACGAATTTTGATCTAAGTAAACAATTTTAATGAAATTACAGTTTTTTTTTTTTTTTTTATTTTTTTTTTTTTTTATAATGTAACATGAAAATCTATAGAAGCGATGCTTTGCCGGAAAAGTAAGAATATAGAGACAAATCTATTTAGCATTGTGTAAATGACTGTCTCGATAGTCTGACCAGATATCACCAAGCTGTACACGATTTTGGCGACTATTTTTGTAGTCAAATTTGTCGAGAAATCGCCAAAAGTAGCCGGACTTGGCGACATTCTGGGTCCGGTCTCTGTACTACGGTAGTGTTTATTGTAATTGAATAACTGTAATTGATTCCATATATAATTTCGACAAGCAATAGAGCTCTCTGGGCGGCCGGGTGAAAACTATATAAGAATCAAGAGAGCCCTCTGCTGTAGGTTGTTAGTTCAGAGCCGACTACGAGGTATTGAGATATCTCCATGGTAGTTTCGTTTTTTAGATGCGTTTTCCATTGCGTTGTGTCTATCATTCTTAGCAATTTAAAGTGTAATTACTGATTGCATCCTGTGATTGCACCCTGTGGAGAGCTGCACGAGTATTTTTGTGGGATGTTCCAGAATTGTGAATTTTTTCTTTTGGTAAAATAAATTTTATCAATCTATCATCAGTTCTGTGTTAATTCAATCTACAAGGAACCCGTACTCATGCAGGAGTATGAAAAAAAATGACTTCCTTGTACGGCCTATTAAATTTTACTAATTTTTTTCTGCACTTCATTTATACATATTTCCTTGAATTTATGTTTGTTATGAGATATGTTTCTCATTCAATCAATTCAGTTCTCACTTCGCGGCAAGGAGAAAATGCATGAAAACTCAAAACATCTTCATTAGAAATTGTAAAATACAGAAAAATTAAAACGCCAAATGTAGTGAAAAAAACAATTAGAAAAAAATTTTATATTTAAAAATTAACCCAAGTAATTCGGCTAACGGGCGAGAAAAAGAAAATTCGGTGCACAAAATTGAAAGTTAACTTTCGGTTTTCCTGGGCAAACATATACTGAAGTTGTTGCACGAACTAACTTAATTCATTAGTTTACTAAGAGTTTCAAATTTAAACAAATATCATACTTTTCAGGCTTAGCACCACTTAAACTTTTAAACTATTGATAATTGTAAAACTATCAACTAAATCAACTAGAGCCATAAAAACCTTAATCGGAACATAAGAACAACATAATTCAATCACTTTTAAAGCAAAAAATACACAATTTAGCATCACATAAGATTAAAAATACAGAACTCACCACGCTGGGTAAGAAAGTGAATATATATATATATTAGAACAGTTTTTGGATGATCTTCTAGGAAAAGAAATGAAATTAGGAAGCTTAATAAAAAGTGAACAAAAGTGAAAAAATAGTAACTGAAAAATCATAATATTCCCTAATTGTTTTCAGCAGTGTGCCTGCAGGTTGCAAATTAGTTGCAGGCAGTGTGCCTGCAAATTTTTAATTAAAAGTACATTTATAAAAATGGTATAAACCGAAAATATGAAGAAAAAATGAATTAACTATCGTTGAGTTTGTTACTCAAAAATTCGTTAAAGTTTTAGAAAATATGAAATCGATCATAAAACAAATTCCAAATTTCAAATTTGGGCTTCCACATGCCCATATTCGTAGGATTACGTCATTCAAATTTCGATGGCTCTATGTACCGTTGTTTTATCACAATGCGATAAATAAGCATACATTTATGCAGATTTTTCGTTACTTGATTTCTTCAAATATAATGCAGGGCTCTATCATTGGGTGGCAACAGTTTGAAAAGTGAAACGGACATTTATAGTGATTCAATGCAAAATCGCAAAACAAAAACTATAGTCCTTCAGGGACAAAGACCCTTTGGACTAAAAATGTTGCCAAAAGGTCAAAAATTCGAAAGGGATCCATATAAGATTTATAATAAAGCAATTCATGGTCATATGCACAGCACTTGTCTAGACGATTGATTTCTATTTCATATCCGCTGCTTGAACATTTAAATTTCCTTCGACGTGCTTAAAAAATTAAAAAAAAAAAAAAAAAAATCTCCTCGTGATAAGCTGTTCTCATTTTCCTCTTTTGTAGTCGAAATTTTTCTGTCATTTAGGCTCATCTACATTCTTCCAAGCTGTTGCCAGGGAAACCGTTCTCGCTTTAATTGAGCACATGATGTTGCTTAATACACGTAATCAATTTGAAACCCGAGGAAACCGTTATCCAAAAAACGTATTAAATTAACCTTAACGCTTTTTTTGCTTTTAATGATTCCGTTTTTTGCGCTCCATCAGAGCAGTGCTGGCATGAAAACTAGAAAAGCTCTACTCCAGTTATCAGCTCTACTAGCAGCATTATTCTTTTTTAATTACTCTAATAAAAATGAGCTAAGTCAGGGATATACTTTTACTTTAATGAGTTTTGTACGTGTGGCCTTTTTTTTGTTGTTACTGTCCCTTAGAAGTATGGAAATCTACTCAGCAATTATTTTTTTTATCTGAAGGAGACCTATTTAATGATTATTAATATTTCATTAAGTAAATTATTGTTGCGACTTGTCTAATTTGTTTGACCTAATCGGAACAAGTCCACGAATTTCATCGTGGCAAGGAGCGAAAAATTACATCTGACATTCGCTTGGTGTTGAGCGCTATATAGGTGACAGTACAATTTTGCCCAGGTCCTCCCTATTTTAAAGGGAAGCATCCCGGTGGCTAGTCCAGGAATCTCCAGTCCCTCTTTCCCTACCTCCAAGTCTCTGGAGAAGGTTTAGAGACACAATTTAGAACATGCATGCGGGAGATGCAAGCGGAAAACATCTTATCGCATAGATCACCAAAATCCTTCAAAGAACAAAGCATTAAATTAAAATGAGCCGTTCAGAATGGCAAAGCTAAAGGGTAGGTAAAAATTTATTACGGTATTATTTCATCGTAAAGCAACGTCATGTAGACATCCGTGGGAAAAAAAACTACTACAAAATTATTAAGATGCAGCTGTGCATTTATTTCACGGGATCGCTTGCGCGCAAGGCTTGTTATAAATACTTCTCTCAAGTGGTTATATTTCCTATTTTGTCGGAATACGACATTTGCGAGTAGAAAATATTAAACATCCAGAAGAGACTTTCTTCAAGTTTCTTCCTAGCCCTAAGCTTTAAATCTACTTGCTTTTATGAATATTCACAATAACTCAAGTTTGTAAAGATGAGAACTTTCGTTTATATTAAATTTCAAGGAAAATTAGCTGTAATTTATATGCAATATTTCTTTCCTAATGGCCGATTGTGGACAGTTACAGTGTAACCCAGTCCATTAATTTATACAAGGCCAGATGTGGTGGTCTCTTTATTATGGAGGCACGTAACAGGTGGACCACCATCGCGTCCTATGAACGGGACGGACAGTTACAACCATGCCTTCTCCGGGATTCGAATCCAGGCCCTTCGGTATCGCAGTCAGCTTCCCTAACCACTGTACCAACTGGGCGGCATTTATATGCAATATGATATTTTGCTAAAATAGTGTGTCTTAGCAAAATTAAACTAATACTGTTTAGTAATAATTAATACATTCAGTTACATAACTAATTATTCCATGCAAGTTTAGCCGTGCGCATCAAGTACTATGATGCCAAACACTCATGAGTCACATATGCATCGATTATATAATTATCCAGCCTCTGCATAGCCCTGTGTTAGACAATCATTGCGCATTTAATTATGTTAGTATTATTAATATCCAAGTGCTTTTCGTTGAAATGTTTAATGCGTAGTGCTGTAGTCGAAAATCATAATGCATACTGATAGGAAACTATCGTGGCAACCGCATATAAACATTCTGAAATTATCATCAAATCTTATGCGCACAATCTAATCAACAGGAAACGGGGAAACTAAATAACCATTTAACGTTTTTAGACAATGTTGTTGTTGCATGATGTCATCCACGGATTACAGCGTATGGGTAAGACATCGAAATATATTCTTCAATAAAATTACACTGACCTTGAGAGCAAATATTCAACTTCCGCAGGCTCAGGAAAAGTGTCTTTAGGGATAATTTGCATAAAATAACATTGAAACTTTCACTGAATTTCCACGTTTTACTAAGCATTCATTTGCCTTATTATTCCCATTTACATGTTTTCATGTACCTAGATTTTTATTAAATTTGAAACAATTATTTAGAATCCTTGTGATTTTTTTATATACAAAGTAGAAAATAAATTATTTTTAAGTATTAAAATCAGAGCGGGAGACTTATAAACTTTCAATGATGTATAGCTAACATATAGACAACGCCAATTAGAATGTAAAAAATATCAAGCAGGTATTTCGCTGATGGCAGCGGTCATGATAAGTCCTGACGTCATACACCGTGACGTGTCATGGCTTCATTTTCATTGCAAGTGACGTACAGAGAAGGCTTGCTCCGTTTATTCTAACCTCCTTGATGTCTAATCCAAGAAACTCGATTAATATTTCATAGGTAAATAACAAGTGTTTCCGAATACTAAGAACTAAATTTAGTCTTTAATAAACAAATAGCATCAAAATAAAAAACAGTTAACAAAAGGTTAACAGCCTATTAGGAGAAGAACAGAAGCCTGTTAAAAGTACTGATTAAAAACATTAGCGTCTTTCAGAGGCTAGCATATTTAGCATTCATTCATTGAAACTTTTTACTGTCTTTTAGAAACAATTCGAAAGGTTCATTCTCGGACACGAAAGGCGATGATGGTGACGAAGCACGAGAAGAAGACGACGAACTCGATGCCTTGAGTCCGATATCTGGTACAATTAAAACCGGAAGTGGCGGCACGAGAGGATTGTCAGCTGCATCTACCGTACTTCCGGGAACGAGTATCGTAAGGATGTTTTTGTTTACCTTAGATATCAAATTTCTTTCGCAAGAGAAGTGTATTAATTTTTTTTCATATTAAATTCAAGTTTGCTCGCAGCAAAGCATTTTGCAATTTTCTTATGATATTATTTAATTATAGTTATGATGCATTTAATATAAGAGTATATATTTTTCTTCTAGGATCACCTGCGCTTCAAAATTATGTTTATACCTCTAAGTTAAGTTTACTAGCAATAAGAGTGTAATATTAAAGGTAAAATAACGTCATTTTTTATAAAAACTACCCGGGCCTTTTTCTAAAAATAATAAAATAACTATCAATTTTCGCGAGGAGAGAGTGAATAACAAGTAGACATTAATTAAGAGCCCCGACAGCCTTCATTGTCGGAAATCCAAACATGAGTCTTAATTCGCCCTACAATTTAATTGTTACAGCTAATGTTGATTGCAAATTTCACAAGTTTCATAAATAGTCGATTAGAGCTTATGTTTCATGAGCATATGTCCATTTACTTGGTTTGGTTTCGTTTATCTGGTTACGGAAAAGCACTCGGGCTATCTGCCTAAGGTTGTAGAGACATTAGGTATTTTTTGGAAGCAGGAAAGATGAAAAATTAGCAACGAGTTCACCGAGGATCGAGCCACGGACCTCTGGATACGCGCCCAGCATGCAGACCAGTACACTACGAAGACACACTAAGAAGGCGGGTGAAAAACCTTATAAGGTGAGGGATTTCTTCGTGAATGACTTTCTAGGGGAAACTGGTTCGTATACACATTACATATGGGGAAGACCACGAAATGCAGCCAGCCCGTTTGCGAGATTCGAACCTCGCAGCGAACTACCAGTGTTCAGCGAATTTTATCGCTCGGCCGCCGTTGGACCTACAATTACTTGAATTGGTATATCCAAGTATTATTAAAGTGTCTTGAATCAAGTCTGTTGCAGCAATTCTCAACCACTGTGTCGCGGAACTTTAGTATACTGCGAAATTCTTGAAATGTGCTGCCAAATTTTACGAATGCATGCAATACAAATTATTTTGTAATTTGTAATTTTCGGTTCTAATCAACATTTAAAAAAAAAAATGGTTCAGACCTTTAAATCTGGATTACGAAATAAAAGCAGCGTTATCATTTTTATGCCCAAATATAAAGTTATGAAACAAACAGTAATCTCAATAATCTCAAGATTTTCATTAAATGTAATCTGTAATTTATCGTTAAATAAACCTTTTGGTTACTTTGAAATGCAGTTTTATTTCATATTTCATTGAAAAGTATTATCACATGCTATTTTTACAAAACATATTATTGGCACATCAATCACTTAAAAAAGTAAAATTCTTTTAAATTTATCTTATTGTTAGCTTGCCTCCAAATTTTTAAATTATTAAAATTATACCGTGACCCTCCAACAAAGTTGGGAACCACAGGTTTATTACTTTGAAACAAGCACTTCAAGATCATTACGACCTCCCTCATTTATGACTGTAACACTCGTCATCATCATAAAACAGCACGTCCTCCTCCTTATTTAAGATTGTATTCAAATTAACCTTCCTTTATGCGCTTTTCATAAAATTAAACACATTAAACGGAAAAAAAGGGACTCTATTACCTTTCGGGTTGTACTCCAACTGCGCTGATGAAAATCCCCCCCCTCGTCCTATAGTCCAACTGCGCCGATCAAAATTTCTTTCCCCCGTTGCCTACAGGGTTACAATTTTATTTTTCGAAGCCAAGAGGAAAATAAAAATAAAGAAATATATTTTTTATAAATGAATACAGTCAAAAGTCGTTAATTCGGACACCCATAATTCGGAATGATCTATAATCCGGACATCAAAACTAAAAACTTTCTGCGCATGCGCCGCGTTGACACATGCGCAGAGGCGTTCACGCGTGCGCGTAAGACCTTTTACGACTGCGCATATGAGTGTGCGCAAGTGCAGAATACGTTTTCGCGTGCGCATTTTATGTATAATGGACGTATAAGCTAAATAATTATCTATTTCAGTTAATGTTGGTGATTGCGTTGTTCCTTAATTTTCGAAATGCATCCGGCTTATTATTTTTTGCAGACTGTAAGAGCAATTTTAAAAGTAAAGTAAGCTTAAACTTTCGATTATATCAAATAGAATTTGCGATATATATTTGTTAATATGTAAAGGATCTAAAGTGAAAGTATGTTTTGAAATCCAAATCTGTTTATCAATTTCACGCTGCTCGGGGCGGGGGCGCGTAATGAATTGGAAGTTGATTTGTCAGCACTATCCTTATCTTTAGGGCAGATGTTTTTATTTTATTTGGCTTATAATTCCTTACCAAATGTAGTATTTCATCTCGATATGCTCCGTCTTTGATCTTTGATATGATTTAAAAAACAAGTTCCTCGTCATTATAATTCGCTTCCGATAGCGAAGAAAAGTGACAGAGGTTATTGAAAACAAAAAAATTTCGATTGACAAATTAGTCGGTGTTCTTGACACAGCAATTATAGGACTTGAACGGCGGAACTTTGTAACTGAACAAGAGAATTAAAGAGAAAGTATTATCACATGAAACGAAGCAAAACTTAAACAACTTACATTGAAAGAAATGTTTAATAAAGTAAACAAATAAATATTAAGCTTTTTCTTTTTGCAAATTTTGATACCCTTTAGATCATAATTGTTCTTTATTTCATAAATTACGGTTTTATATTTTTAATTTTAGAATTCCTGCATGCCATCTTACGAGATTTAAACTGATGATCTATATTCCGGAAAAATCGATAATCCGGAATCGCCGAAGTCCCGACGAGTAACGACTTTTGACTGTAGTGGATTTGTTGCCAATCTAGAGAAACTATGCTTCGGCAATAACAAAGATAACGCATTCTTTTTATTATTATTGCGAATTAAGTCATGCTTAATCCTTTCTGGAATTTATTCCAGGAAATAAGTGTTTAAAATTTACTTCGTAATTAATACAGATATTTTGAGTTTTTATGTATTTTTGCCTTGTCGTGAAGTAAAAACTGAATTAATTGATGAGAAACACTGAATTGTCTGTGAAAAATCGTTTCTTTTTTGTTTGTTTAATTACTTTTATACATCACTTTAGACTTACTTTTGTTAATTGCTCTGTAACACAAAAGAAATTTTCAGAGGACTTTCGTAATACTCTTGCAGGCATTAAATTCATCTTTGTAACATGTGGGGCTACAAGGCATTCTTCATGAGCACAACTATTAGCTCTGACCTTTTTCACCCCTACGACCGGAAGTCAGTGTATATTACTTAAATAGCTAAATTTTCAATCAGTTCCGAAAGATTCTTTGACTATCTTGGTGAAAAATATATTTGCTTCTGAATATTTGCTGAGAAAAATATTTAAAAACAGGTTAGCATGATAAAGGATAAACTTAAAGAAAATGCTAAAGTATGAATAAAATAAATAAATAAGTATAAAATATTAAATCATGAAAACGATTTCTAGAGTAAATTTCTTAGGGTTTGAAACTTAAAAAATACAGTAGAAATGAGAAGAGAATTTAGATATCTTTCATATCATAAGTTTATTAAGTATTATATACCCTACACGGAGCACGCATTCCTTGAAACTGAAATACGGACATAGCGGCACAGAAAAATATTTTTTGAAAAGAACTATGTAGTAATGCATAAATGAAAGAAATTAAATAAAAACTATCAAAGAAAATATATATGAATTATTACATCAAATACTCTCTTGACCGCAAGTGATAGAATTTTGTTTTCTCGTTTATCTTTCAGCAAAGCTTATACAATTAAATAATCACTTTCATTCGCGTAAAATTATAAACAAATGTAAATAATTATACAAAACGCATAAAGTTAAACACCACAGTGTGAAAGGAAAATTCTGGAATAAAAATTTTAAGAAAATTAGATGAGAAATAATCCATAATTTATTGATATCCATATACTAAACTCTATGCTTTTGGAAAAAGTTACACATAATTTGCACTGAAGTATCAATCACCGAAACCAAGTTAATTTCTTTCCTTACTTTTTCTTATCAGAAGGATTTGTAAAAAGATACGCTAAGGTGAAAAATTTTGCAATATTTTTAAAGAATAAATTTTAAAAGTATTTTCACTTTATGAACTGAAATTTTTACACAGTAAATAAGTACAAAAAAAAAAAGAAAAAGAAAAGAAAAAGAAAGAGCTAGGGGATCACTGGGACTAGAAACTCGGGTCGAACTACCAATGTTTAGTGACTTTTCTGCTTGATCATAAGACCTTTTGAAATTAGGCTGAACAATATATTAAAGAAAATAGAAGATACAGCACACGTAGAACAAAAGTGGACTGAATTAGAGATTTACATGTTTAATGAATAAGTTAAACTTACCTGTATGCCATTATGAGATATTAGGAAGTAGCATAAAAGCATGAGTGAAGAAGGCAATGGCAATCTAAATCATTGTAATCTAAATGTATAACATTATCAGTATCTGCTATTAATTTCAATACTGCCGAAAAAATTATAAATGAATTATATTATAAATGGTATGAACTCGTTCCATTATAAATTACAACAGTTAGAAATATTATTAGCGTGATTTAGCGACCATCTTTGTTAACAAATAATTTCAAGTAACTAACTAATTTACAAATAATTCAGCCTGAAACTAGATTAGAAAATAAGCTACATGCTGAAGATTAAGCTTTGCCAAGGTGTTAGAAACATCTTCTGTTAACTAGAGTTATGAAGCAAGAAATTGTAAAATAAAAATATCATTTAATTATAAATTGGCATAAAATACAATACAAATTATATAAATTTTACATACATGAAAACTTGAGTACAGTGCAACAATATGTGAAAAAGGAATGGATTAAAAGAAAGACTGAAAATCCCAAGATATGAATATAAGGGAGTTTGATTTTTTTTTTTTTTTTTTTTTTTTGTTAATTATAAAAATTCTGATGACGCTCATAATTATCAATTTATTAATTAAATGTGTATTAGAAATTAAATGCATGCCGAAGTACATTAGGTGAAAAAAAGAATATTTAAACGTTTCTAGTATTAAAATATGGAATTTGTAACAAAGTTAAATAACCTTAAAATAACTTCAATGACTAAAAATGGAAAGCTTAATACGGGAATATATTGCAATAATATTAATGTGAATTTAGAACGACTTAAGAAGTCCAATTTTTAGATTTAATAAAGAGAATTTTTAAAATTAAATTAGAACTGTTTACCTAAAATGGTAAATTTGAAAGTTAAAACCATTCTACTATCTAAGAAGATTTGTTAATATTTATCTAGACAAGAAACTTATTTAAGGTGAGCTACAAATCCGATATTTGATACGTTGATTATGTATAAGTTTTGTGTATGTCATTAATCTATCAATTTTACTATTCAAAACTGTTATATATATATATATCAGCGACTAAAATCTACAATTTGGAAAGTTTTTAATTCTTACAGAGAATAAAAAAGATCTGGCTCATCATTCCTTTAAGCATCATAAAACTTTAAAATGAGTGTAAAAGAAATTTATTTTTTAGCACACGCCAGACTTTAAATTAATATTTGTTTTACATGCACAATTTTTACAATATTGATAAACGAAAATAAAGGCTTGCAGTCTCAAATGTCCCATTAATGGCGATAAACGACTTTTTGTAGCACCCAATCTTCTTGGAAAGAAATGGGGGACAGGAAACGTCGCGCAGTTCGTGGATTAAAAAAGAGGGGGACGGGGATTTTCGATCAAATTTGGCACAGTTCGTACCCTACCATCTTTCGCAGCTGCTGTTACCACAGTGGTGAAGCAAGCTGGGAGGAAGAAAAAGACTTTGAAGTGCTTATGCTAAAGTATCACATACCTGTTTACTTAATTTCGAGTAATGTATATGCCTCGGAGAGCAGTAATAATTCTAGATTGTGTCACTGGTAACTACCTGAAATTTTCCTAGCATTTTTCATATGAAACATGAAAGTGGCTCCTTTAAAAAGTCTTCTAGAATACCATCTTTAATAAAGCTGATATCCCTGCGTGTTTTGTTATAATCAGTTACCAACCTTATAAGTTTAAATACTATATGCACAGAAAATTTGCTTGATTTTATGCATCTGACTTCTACACGAATTCTATTTCAAATTCCTAAATTTAAATCTTCCTTCAATAGGCAAAACTATAAAATTTTTCTTGTGATTTAGGAAAATGGTTTTGTAAAAACTGAAGTATATACCAACAATTCACTTTTACGAAGGAATGCAGAATTCTGTGCAATGTAACAAGAAGATTTTACAGCACAGGAAGGAATGTAGATAGAGGAATATATAGCCCTAAAAGTTTTTTTGCTCAAATCTCGATATTTTTAAGTGAATCCAAATACTTTGTTAACATACTATGTATAAGACAAAACAGTCACAAAAATGGTGTGTGGTGTATATAATTATGGCAAAGCACACTAGGGCTATCTGCCTAAGGGAAGGGATGCCTTCGTGGAGGACCTTCTAAGGGAAACTGGCTCGTATACACGTTATACATGGGGGGAAAACCACGAAAACACCCATGAAGCCAGCCCGTTCGAGGGATTCGAACCTCGGACCGAACTACCAGTGTTCAGCGACTTTACCGCTCGGCGCGCTGGTGGGCCTCACAAAAATGAAATATTTTAGCGATAATCTTATATACACAGTAAAATCTCTTATCGCTGGCATCCAGTGAAAAAGTTTTGATCCAGTTTTGAAAGCCTAAATTTAAATTCGAAATTTAGGCCTATCAGCTAAAAAATATATATAATGGGCTAACAATATGAAGACTTAAATGCGTAAAACATTCATGTAATGTTTCTGTAGCCCAGCATAACAAACCTTAACCAACCAATGAATTTTCCGGAACATAAAGATGAACGAACTACTGTTCCCTTTTTATGCGTCGATGTGTGAATTTTGAAGGTAGTGTCCATGACTTTAAAAAATAATTTATTTTAAAAACACAATTTTTTCCCAGCTCTTACCTGGAGAGATGTAAAGAACATTACTTTACGCCACAGTTCATGTAAATTGCGCTTATGATTATATTCGTAGATGACGAGTCGAGTGACGAAGATTCTCTTGGTTCCCGTGCTTGTCCGACATCTTGGATTTAGTTACATGTTCGGAGAAGATGTAATCTTAGTGACGGGGAGATATAAGCTTGGGTGGATGTACACAATTCTGTTCTTGTCACATTCTCTTCAGATCAGAACGAAATAATTGGACATGTACTGGGAAAGGAGAAAGAGGATGAAGAGGTGGACGAGGACGAAGATGAGATAATACGCAGAAGTTACGTAGAAGGAAGCTGACGAAGGATTGCAGACTTTCACGAGATTTGCCGAACAATTTTCAGCTATGTCAGTGTATGATGTTATGAAGCTTCATTATATGCACGGCGAATTTTTAAAACTCCAGCGACATTCTCGTAAGAAGGCAAAAATTCAAAATTATATGCCATCACACAAAGAAATTCGTAACTTGGCCATCAGAAAATGTTGTTTAATTTTATTTTTCTGAAATACAAATTTGTATGTATTTTAATTTTAAGTAATCTTCTCAATTTTTGACATTATTTATTTAGTACTAGCCGATAGATCGAAAAATGCGACCAACGGGATTTACTTGGTGGGAATTTCCATAGATGACATCCCTAAACATGAACAGGTTATTCCTAGAAATATATATTCTGTTATCCAGAGAAATCTCTTATCCGGACTCTCATTGCTGATCTCACTGTATCGCTGTCAATTCCCCACTGCTCTCAATTAAGAGCAATTCTACTGCATTTTGCGATATTAAATGATAAAATAGATTCTTATCGATATAGAATTTGACACAGAACATTCGCAACAAATCCAGAATTTTCTTACTTTTCCTATTGGTAGACTGAGAATTTTACCGAAGAATTTAACTCTCGAAAACTTCGAAGAAATTCTCCGGCTTATTTGTCGAAGAAACGAGTGTAAGAGAAGCGACTCACAATGCATGAACTAAGGATCAGTTGCATTAAACAAGAATAGCATAGTGTTCAATACCAAAGTTTTCTCAACAAATTTTAAATAAAATAGATATTGTACTTACACGAGTTAAGCAATCCGTGGCAACCCTGTTACCAGGAAGATTTTTAGTATTCTTTTACTTTCTTTAACAGTGTATATCCGATTTCAATTATTTAATTTCTCAGCTTACTCATCTTATTTAATCTTATATTTAATAATAATTCTAATTTTTTATATATTTTAATAATATTTCTAATAATAATTTTATTAGAAATAGAATAATTTTAATAATATTTCTAATTTTTATTTTATTTTTTATATTATAATGATGTTTTCTTAAATATTTTGCATTAAAAATGCAATATTTTCAACTAAATCTTCATTCTTGAATTCTTGAATATGTAACATGTTTCCATTTGTGATGTTGGTTTTCTTCAGAGTATATCACCTGTCATGGAAGAACTGTCGGAACTGGAGTCATGCAAGCCGTTGCCAGATTTAGACGAATTTCCGGACGATATTCGGAATCTGTTGCTAGGACGTTGTTCCACGCACGATCCCAACAAAAACAGACGATTGAGTGAAATATTCCTTCTCGTCTTGGCTAATGGAACAGGTAACTGGAGGATTAGTTACTCAAGTGCTGCACGCAGTTTCAAAAATTGCCATTCTTTCACTATTTTTAGATAATTTTACGTAAAAAAGCAATTTCATTAATGAAAAAAAAAAAAAAAAAAAAAAAAAAAAAAAAAAAGCATTATTAGTTAATGCAATCTGCCATCAGCTTACACCGATAAAGTCAACTTATGCTACTGACAAATAGTGAAATGAAATTTTATGTACATGTCTTTCAATAAAGGCCTTGCTACGTTATATTTTCATTTAACCATGCTAAGTGAAAAAACACTCGTGGAAGAGTTTATTTTTTCAATTAATCTATGGCACGCTGGCTTTCAGAAACAAACAGAAATGGTTCATTACTTTTATACGTTTTCGAGAAAAAAATATTATTAATTAATTAATTAATAATAATCAGAATGCATAAATTAATTCCAACTAGACTGCATTAATTATAAATAATTAATGCATTCTGATTGGAATGAATATGCAATGGCTCAAATTTGTTTTCGGACGCTTATAGTTTTCAATTTTATTTGAAAATATCTTTTACGAGGTATTAGCGAAATGACTACTTTCAGGTACACTACTAATAATTTTTAAGCCTGTTTGTTTTGAAAGAAATTATTTAAAACGTTTTTGATGGAAAAATAAATTATTCAAATAGTCCTGAAAATGAACTCATATACTAAATATTCGGACCCTTTAAATAAACAACTTATATTAAATAAAAATATGAAAATAACGCGATATTCGATATTTCGTTAGATATCTTTTAGTTAAAAATGCACTTTTCATGAGCTGTGGCATGAATTTAACATATTTCTTCATGTAAGACTATTTCATTTTGTTTCATTCTTTAAGAATTGCTGTTAGTGTAGCTTTCGAAGAAATGTCTTTCTTCCATACACGTATGATAGTATTTAAGTCCGAAGAAAATGAAGGAGTTTTGATAACTTCAGGACAGTTGTATAAGAAACACAAGCGAGCTTTTAGGGTTGTATGTACAGGATCGTTATCCTGATAAAACTTGAATGAATTTTACATTCAAAGTTTTCAGATTTTCATTAAGAATATACATATATTTATACTGACCGACATTATTTTCTATAAAAACTAAATTTCCCATCCAAATGGCAGCGAAACATTTCAAACCACTGGGCCTCCACCCCCGTGCTTAACAGTAGGCAACAGAATTTTTTGGGTTTAATTCTTCATTCAACTTTTGCCACACAGCAGTTCGCCACAGTACCCAAAACTTGAAATTTTGATCCTCCTTCTCTTTTCTCTGACATTGTTGCATTAGAATAAATCTTTTACTTATCTTTTACTTTACCTTTTTACGAATGCCAGGCATATTTTCCTTGTTTTCTTATTGCCAAAGAATTTTCTAAGTACCCACTGAATCCGTATGTTCTAATGTAACTTCTAAGAGTTTCAGAGTCAACTTTCATTGCAAATCGTTCTCCTAAATTCACCGCAAGTTTTAAATTTAATTTTTGGCTTTTGCTTGATTTTGCGTAGCATTATCTCACTCTTCTTCGTGTCAGCTTTGACTGTAGACAAGACTTCAGTGTTATATTGAACAATTTCATGCATCTTCCATCGTTTTAATACATCAAAATGGCTGAACGCTTAACATTAAGGATTTTTTTAATATTTAGCGTACTTTTATCACTTTTAAAAGATTAAATCATTAAATTTTTAGCAGAACTTATCATTAATTTGTAGCGTTTTCTTCGGGTTCACTTCAGATGGAACTATTAATATATTCCAAAACAAGTAACACTTTACAAATGCAGACAATAACTGTTGCGATATACTTTCATTTAAAACAAGAAATTATGACTTAAAACATTGTCTGCCAAAACATCTCAACAAAACTTTCAAGTGTTTGTATTATTAAGAGAGTTACTTATTAGCATTTTTTGAGTAAACTATTTTATTCCAAGGAGTATTATGATTTCCAAAGAATATTATGAATATAATATATTATATATGTTCCAAGAAATATAATATATAGGTCTATTCTTATCTTATAACAAATATTCTTCAATATTACATGATATTTTATACCAAATATTCTTCAATATTTGGTATAAGATGTATGCAAATAAATTTAAAAAATACAAGTGTAAACAAACATGAACAACTGCAAACTTTTACATTTAAACTCTTTATGTTGATTTAAAATCCGATAAAATTATAGAACATATCATTCATAAAAATTATATAAAATAGACATTTTTCAATTCAATAAATTATACAAATTAAGAATCATATAAATTTATAAAAACTATACAGAACGGATTTTAGTCACTTATCAGGCTCAGAGGCACTAAACCTCTCCATATAAAATTAACGGCAAAAATAAATTAAAGCTTGCTACATGTTAAAATCCGAGCTGAGTTACATATCTTGCATTTTCATTAAAATTTATGCTCTTAGCTTCACATTCAAGAGTCAAATATGTTACTAACTAATCTCATTATTTATTTTTATTGAAAACATTACTTATTCTCTTTCCAGATGGTTATCGATTTTTCTCCGAAGTGAATAAAATGGTTATCCCTTCTTTAAAGCAGCTTTGCTTCGAAAATGCTTCAACATTGCACATTTATGTGTTTGGTCACCAATCCGTGCCTTGCGGGAAAGATTTTCGGATGCTTATAACAAACTTCGTCACTTCTTTACTAAAATTCGACAAAGTCATTACCTTAGTAAGTCAGAATTTCTTTCAAAAAGTCTTTTTGCTTTATATTCTTAGAAATATGCAGGACAGCCAAAAAGTAATAGTAGCGATAAAAAGTCAAACACCTTATTAGCGTTTTTACATTTGTAGAGCCCTTGGAATAAAGTAACCCACATACAAAACTTTATACATGATTTAGTAACATATTTAAATATGATTAGCTACTTTATCATCGTTTCTGGCAGGAAATCATATACTCGAGAAACGTTCGAACAGCTTGCAATATTAAAAATTACCCGCTTACACGGCCAGCCGCCTGGAACAGATATCATAAAAAAGAAGAAAATATATAATGATTTTAATGAGCCGTGCTAGTGTCAGTTCGTAAAGATATTTAATGCTGGTAATTAGAAATATTATGAATAAAATCTATATTATTGAAATCCATCCGATTAAAAAGTAGAAAAATATATTCCTAAGAACTGCGTTAATTGCTTTTAATCGTTTGTTTTAATGCAGATTAAATTGGGAAGTTAATTATCTTTCACTTTACCGAAAGAAAATGCATTGGCGAGTGGAAGATAAAAATATTTTATTTGAGACAGTGGCAACAGATTGTTTTTAAATAGCTGAATGTGTTGATTAAAACTGAGAGATAAATATATTTTATTTTGCCCAGTGGGAAATCAGTCTGGTGAATTGGATATAAAAATGTTTTATTTCGAACAAGTGTTGCTACATTTCGTTTTTAAATCGCTGAGTTTGTTAACTAAAAATTCATTAAATTCGTAAAAAAATATGAAATAAATTCAAAAAAAATTTGAAGTTCAAAATTCCGGCTTTGTGATGCGCATGCTCGGGCGGAGAAATATGTACATTCAAAATTTAATGATTCTAGGTACCGTCTTTTTTCTACCGATTCGAAGAACATACATACAGACAGATTCTTCATTAGTTAATAATAGCTAAGTCCTTTATCTGCTTGAGATATCAGCCTTGTTGCGGCTTGATGCGAAATACGACATCAGCAACCAATAATCTAAAAGCAGCCGATTTGAAAGGAAATACTTATTAAAGCCGTGTACACGGTTAAGCAAATATTCATTAGGGGATGAAGAGGCAGTTTTACTGAAAGTAGTATGCATGGCAATGATCTGTTTACACTGAATATGATGGGAATGATGTTAAAAATAATGAAGCGTTTTCATTTGCGAATTTTTTTTTTACGTAAATATACTTTGCTTAAATATACTCAAGCTTACTTTTTGACACTTCCTCATATTCAATGAAAACTAGAACTTTATTTCTTTAGGTGAAGCTTAGTTATTTCCATTTAGTTTCATTTCTTGCGCGCGTTTTATAATTTTTTTCTCCTCAAAGATATATTCAATACATAACTATATGAAAAAAAATAAGTTAACTTGTTTTTCACTTCGCCGTACAATTTCACCATTTTCCACACTTTAGTATAATAATCAATCCTTTCTTAATATTATTTTTAAATTTCTGTTAGTATGATCTAATTTTCATTCCTTTAAAAGTTAAAAACTTCAAATGTTCTACATTTCATGCAACCATTAGAATGTATGTGGTAACACACTGATTGTGCAGAGAAAATAAATTGAGAATTTCATAAAAATATTTAATGGTTTTAATTATAAACCGAAAGTATGGTGCTTATCACACTATAATCAGTCGTTCCAGTCTAACGATTCCAGGCTTTAAATGCAATAGAAATTATGCAGTGAGCTCTAGTAAATAAGTGAATAATGCAGCTCATTATACACTCTACACAAACACACCAAAAAAACAGGGACACTTCTATATCTTCCATTCAACTGAGCCGATGAACGAAATTTAATTTGCATTTCATGACTCGAAAGCGCGACTTAAGATATATATTATTATTTAACAATTAAATATGGAGAATGAAAAAATATCAGCTTATTTCTCGTCTTCAGGCCTTCTCATCTACAGTATTGGTTTTCATATGTTATTCTGTTTTTCGGTATATATATTAGTAGTAATAATATTAGATAAAAGACGTATTATTTCATTTTTTCCCTTTCATTTTATTAAAGAATTCGATGTTAAAGAACACAAAATTTATAGATATATGACACCATAGATATATGATATAAATAAGATATATGACACCTATCGTCATATATTTCTTTAGCAAAATTCCTGTCCCTATTTAATTGTGCAAGGAAACCTGACGAATCTTCCTCAAAGAACATAGAAAAAAGATCATGAAAGGAGCTGAACGATAATGTCATAAGACGTAGAATAAACTGGATCTATTACAACATAATGGAGATAAAAAAAATTCTCTGAGGATTTTTGCATGGGTACAGATATGCATGATAATTGCTTTTAAAGGCCTTGGATAACAATATAACACTCGAAGAAGGATTTGTCTTTAAAAAATGAAAAATATTTTTTAAAAGGCTTCTGTATTAATTGTATACCACAGAAATAAAAAAATGTGTCCATAAAATTTATTAACTAGGCATATCATGAAGTAAATGCAGTTTTATTCAAATCGGTCAGGCTAAAAAGTACAAAAAGAACGGCTTTTATTGCTTTTAAATGCTTGTCAATCAATAACAGACAGATTAAATTCGAAGATTAAATATCTTATACATACACTGGTGTGCAAAAATTAAGGACGAAGTCGAAAAATTAGCATATCAGCTGAACGAAGAGGCAGAGCGGACAGAAAGACCAATCAGGAGATTAAGTAAGGTGATGTACGGTAGCACATGCGCAGATATGCAGGTAGACGTAATGGGGGAGTGTCTGAGTAGTATAAAGCATGTTGTCGGTGTAAGATCAGTATTTCTGGCAAAGAGATTGCATGCCGTATAGCAGTTAAAATCACACCGAGTTGCTGCCTCAGCGAGAAATGGCGAATAATCAGTCTGTTAGACGATATCTGGATGCTTTTACCCGAGGTCGAATCATTGGGAAGTTGGAGGAAGGCCGCAGTGTGACAAGTGTGGCTGCAGAGTTCGGAATTGCTCACAGCATCGTTTCACGACTTTGGAGACAATTTCAAACTACAGGAACAGCTATCCGGGGGTTTAGTAGTAGTCGTCCACGAGGAACCACACCCGCAGATGACCGGTATATTGCCTTACAGGCCAGAAGAAACAGGCGGCAGACAGCGGGAGAAATCGCTAGACACACGACACAGGCGACTGGACGACCGATATCGCGTTTTACCGTGGCCAGAAGACTGCACGGTGGTGGTCTGTTTGCACGACGCCCTGTACGGTGTGTACCTCTAACGCCTGCCCATCGGAGAAGGCGTTCTCTGTGGTGCCGGGAACACCGGAATTGGAGAGACAATGAATGGGGACGAGTACTCTTTACAGATGAGAGCAGATTCAGTCTGAGTAGCGATTCTCATCGAATACTCATCTGGAGAGAGCGGGTAAGCCACAATCATCCCTCGAACATCATTGAAAGGGACAGGTATGGTGGTGGCGGTGTTCTCGTTTGGGGAGACATCATGCTTGGTAGTCGTACAGACCTTCACATCTTCGACGCAGGTTCAGTCAACGGGACCCGTTATTGTAACGAGATTCTTCTTCCATATGTGCGTCTTTTTAGAGGCGCTATGGGTCCGCAGTTCCTTTTCATGGACGACAATGCACCATGTCATCGCACAGTAGCTGCCGAACCAGCTCTTAGAGAGTGAGGATATTGAACGTATGGATTGGCCGGCACGATCTCCGGATCTCAATCCCATTGAGCATGTATGGGATTTTATAGGCAGACGCTTGGCAGCTCGTATCTTACCACCAGTAACGATTCCGGAGCTTCGATTGGCGCTGCAAGACGAATGGGCAGCAATGCCTCAACAACTCATTGACACCCTCATTCTGTGCATAGGCAGAGGCTGTGAAACCTGCCTAGCAGTCAGGAGATCATATCTCCTATTAAAGACCGGATGTTTCTTGCTGGACACCCATCACAGGGATGTTTCGGCCTTCAGTCGCATTGCTCTCCATGCTACATTTTCAATAAAGCTTCTTTTTATCCCTCTGATTTCTCTTTTTAGTAAGTGTTGCTTACATTACTCATGCCCTTACGTATTGGAGATCTTACCGTATTAAATGTGTTGATTTGGAAAGCTTTTGTACAAAGTTATATTGAAAAAACCGTCTCGTCCTTAATTTTTGCACACCAGTGTATAGTTTCCTAGTTTCTTCCAGTTTCACACTTTTCACACGCAAATTATATCTTTTCTGCCTTTCTTCGCATGACACAAGTTTTCCAATTCAATAACTTTCATGCATTTCTTAAACTTAGCAATATCATAACTAATAAAACTTTCTGACAGACGATCTTCGGTCGACCATTAACAGTGGTTCAACCACCGGACGTCATTTTGCAATCAGATTTCGATGCTGCCGTGAGTCGAATGTCTTCTGCCGATAATCGAGAGCTTGTCCACTGTTCTTATGCTGCCGATGTCAATGCCATATCTCCTTGTTATCGACTGATCAGACACAATCATGAGACTGAAGATCGAATAGAGCAGGACGCAAATATTATTAGCATTCTAGAATCAGCATTTGATGACAAGGCTCAAGCTACTTACCTCACATCAGGTTCGTAAGATGTTTTTGTTCTTATATTTTAAGTGCCAAAACTGCCATTATTTGAAAACTTTATGTACTGAAGAATTTTTTCATCAGTTATGGAAATTTTTTCTTTGACGTTTTGGTTTTTAAAAGCATAGCTGTTCCTCATATATTATAAAGTGAACCATGAAATTTTGATGATGTTAATACCAGAAAAAAATTACCGTAGATTTCGGCGTATAACATGCACTTTTAACACAAAAAATAAGAACGAAATTTACAGGTGCGCGTCATACGCCGGATATAAAGATGACAGAATAAAAGTAAGGAAAAAAATCAGCATACAAAAATTGGATTTTTACATGTACCTCAATGCTCTTTGTTTAAAAAAAATGACATACCTCATGAATTTAAAAATTTCATTATTGAATATGATGATAAGTTCATCATACTCGTCTTCCGTTATATTTTCACGCACGACATTGGATTCTGTTTCATCTTCACCACCATTGTTGCTCTGATCCATGAATAAATATCCATCACCCGTTCCATCTTTCACCAACATCAAACATCCTTGCTGCAGTCCGTTTTCTTTCTCAAAATGAATGACTCTGCATTTAAAACCAGCACTGAGTATGTTTCATTTCTTAGGAACCATATTTATTACTAAAAGGAACGCTAGATCAACTGTATTTCAACTAAAGCAAATGCCTTCAAAGTTCACTTCAAAATCACGGATTCGAACGACTACATATAATGAAAACAACTGGCTCCTAATTCCGAGAATTTATTCGGGTTGGAAGAATGTTCTTCCAACCCGAATTATGTCCCAAATTATTTCCTTTTTTTTTTTGAAACCCTAGAATAACATTCTTGTGCATATCTGCATTAAATACAACTCACTCTCTTTGCAGATTTATTTACTCCTCTAAGCATCTTTGCCCATACTCGTATTGTTACCCGTACTACTTGTGAATTCAGTATACCATTGTCCGAACGCCTGGGCAAAATGAACGACTTCAAAAGATAAGAGCATCGCACATGTAGCTTACCTGTTTATTCACATAAAAATTACGAAATGTAGTTTGAAATTATATTTGCGCGTTATACACCGGTGCGTGTTATACGCCAGAATATACTGTATTATGAAATGTCATTTATAAATGTTTATTAGTCTGATAAAACAAAAGAGTACGCAATGCAATTTATTTTAGCAGAGTTAATTGTAAGGTTTATTTAATTTTTTAACCAGTTATTTTAGGTTCATAATTGTGTAAAAATTATATATATATATATATTTTTTTAAATCAGAAACACTTTTTAAATCAGGCAAAATATATTAGTTTTGGCACTAATTCTACTGATTAGCAAGGATTTCACGCAAAACGCAACGGTTTTCTTTAGATATAAAATTTGAAATGGAAACTAGAAGCAAACAAAGGGCAATTTTTTGCAACCAGAAAATAAATCTGATCTTGAGTAGGAGAAAAGGAAGGACATCTCTTTTCAATCTGCAGCGCTTAGGTTCATAGAAAATATAATCACTTTCATAATTCTTAGGGGTCGCAGAACTTCATCTTTCCTTCTCGCTATTTTGAAAATTTTGCTAAGAAATTTAGTTTATTCGCTCTCTAATTTAAAGAATATTTTCGAAGGAATCATATTTGGTATAAAATTATTTGTTTTATTACTTTGTTACCATTTTATATTCAACATCAGCGTAAAATGTATCAAACATACTGAGGAGAATTCACCATTCACATTAGGTGTAAAATTACAAAAATAAAGGAAAAAAGGGGAGGAAGAAAGGAATAGGTTTTGCTATTCCTTTTGCTACTTTTAATTATTATTCAGGCCTTTATCTCAGTGCTTAAGGGCACCAGAAACTGTAAATAAAAGGTTGTTTCATCTTACAAAATGCTAGCTTTTAATTTAAAATTTAAGAAAATGAGTTTAAAATTAGTTAGCTTACGCTATTTAAGCTTATCATATCTTTAGCTTATCGTATTTTGGGGCCAAACATTTGTTTAATTTCTTATTTTAAAACTATTTACTATCTTTAGGAATTTTGATTACTTTGGATTTAATTCTAATTCGAACATTTTTTTCTTCGATTTTATTATTATTTTTATTTTTTGTTGTTGAATTTATAGGGTATATGATTCTTTTTAATTCTAAAATTTGAACAGTTTAAAACAAGGAAAAACACTAAAATGGGAAAATTGCATTAGAACACTGATTTCAGCAGTGCTGTTTATAGTAAACGCTTTTCTGTTTGCTTACCACCCCATGGTAAGTCATGTCACCAGGTTAAGCAAAAGAAATAGCTTCTTCTTCTTATTATTATTATGTATTTCGTGCTCTCAAAGTTTGTTCCTCAGAAAGTTTGCTAATAAACTCAGTTATTTGACATCAGTTGCCACTGACCTAGGATTTTCCGTGGTATTGGTGAAGTCTTTGAACAATTTTCAGAGTACCACTAAAGGAGAAATTCTGCTATGAGAAACAACACTAATAACCTTGTCGTACTTCCATTTCATTCTTCTGTCAGATAGAAAATTGCACGGATTCTTCAAAAGTTCAATTTTCAAGTCATTTTCTCGCCTATCAATAAAATTTATGGTTATATTCTTTAAGATTCTGTTTCTGACTTTAACTCTTAGGGAATTTGTAGCATGTCGTGTCAGTGTGGTCTGAGATACATCAGCGAAAAACTAAAAAAGCGTTAAAGTTTCATATCAAGGAACACAAATCTTGTGTCCGAAAAGGCGAAATGAACAAGTCTTCGATAGCTAATCATAGTTCAAAACTTAAGCAGAATTTTGATTTTGAGTCAGCAAAAATTATTCAGAAAGCTTCTTCAATTGGTGAATAGGATTTTCTTGAAGCTTTTCACATTCATAAAGATTTATCTTAAGTCCAATTTAGTCATTCCTAACACTTTTGAAAATTCTATTAACTTAATTTTTCAATATCGTTACTATTTTTGCCGACAGATGCCTTCTTGTTAGCTTTACTGTCGTAGGGTTTAAATACCGCCGTTGCGCCCGATGCTTTCCAGTCTTGCGGACCGCTTTGCTCCTAATGAAGAGGGATTGTACTAAGTTGCATTCGAAATTGATTGAGTTCTTCACTAAATCTACGCCGAAAACAAGGTTCCTGCTTTGCTAATTTTACGTAAAACTGCATTAATTTAGTACGCATTTTAGCAAATATGTTTTCACAATAACATTTCAGACTTGTGATATCTATATAAAATTTGCAAGGTAGATTTTCTAATGCATTTGGGCTCAAAAGTGTGAAAAGTGATTTTTTAAAAATTCAGTGTTGTATTTCCGAATAATATAAAAAGTGTACTACAACATTATTTTAACTATTCAATATATTAGATTTACAAGTGTTACGAAGAGATTGTAGAAATAAATATTTTGTGAAGTTTTGTTTTCAACGTATAGTAAACTTGTACTGGATTCCATAATCAGCCAATTCCTTTAGATCAGGAGTTCTCAACTGGAAGAGGATTTTACTGTTTCAGAGCAAGATCAGTCTCTTATTTAGCTGTTGCTTTACTTTTAGTTTATGAATATAAAAAACTGCTTTTATTGAAGTTTTGGTAGTTAACATTTTCGGCACTTTTTATTGTTTAATTTATAAAACCCATTAAAGAAGAATCTAAATTTAAAGTTTAACGTATATGTATTTTTTAGCTTTAGAAATGAGAAGGAGGGCATGATCGTTTAGCAATGGTAAAAGGGGTATCTGAGTTAAAAAAAGGTTGAGAACCACTGCTTTAGATTAAAACTAATCATCTAAATGTTCCTTTTTATTTTCTTATACAAATAGAATCATTTATAGTGGTAGTTTCTCATTTTCTACAGCATTTTCCAACTCTTTGTGATTCACTGGTCTGTTATTGTTGATAGACCCAATTATGTTATAAATTAATAATGATATTTAATCTCAAAAACGTGTGCTGGTAAATACTTCATAAACACTGAAAACTTCATAATTCGTTTGACCTATTTGGTGTGACCATATATTGTATAAAATTAATTCTTATGCTTATATTGAAAGACTCAAATTGTATTGATCTTTTTTTTTTTTTTTTTTTTTTTTTTTTTTATCTTTTCAAAGTGTTTGAAGATGTACTGCGCATTTTACAAGAAAGTAAAAATGATGACGTGCACAACAGATCATTCCTAATCCATCTAGAAAGCACTATAGCTGACGAAGAAAAGTCTAGAAAGGAAGATGTTAGAGTCCAGCACTTAATATCTGACTGGGAAGACAAACTTCCAGATGAATACAAATTCAACTTCTTCAACGGAGACTCTTGGGAAGAACTCTGGAATGGCAATGTATCTTCTAGCGAAGTACAATCTGGTACTGCTTTCAGAAGTTTGGAATTTAAACTACGAAATGTTCTTTATACTATCTTCGAACAAAATGTGGACGAGATTAGGTGCTTTGTAAATGAAGCCGGACGAAGTAATGTATTGTTTTTTGTCATTTGGTTATAATTTCATTCCGAAATATAACTTCTATTGAATACTAGCTCTGAAATTTAATATTTTCACTTACATCGATATTAATTCCATACTGGGAGTAATTTAAAGTATTTAATGATTCTTTTTAATTTCTGAAAATATCATTCTTTCTTATTTTCTCTTTCCTCCCAATTTCTACAACATTCATTTATTTTATTTCTTTATTATCTGCAGCATGTTCGGAGTAGTTTGAGTTTTTAAGGATTCTTTTATAATTTATGCTAATGACATTCTTTATTGTTTTCTTTTTTATTAATTTCGACAGCATTCATGTTAGCAGGGTAAAACTAATAAAGTTATTTCAGAGTATTTTATTATATCCAATTTTGATTCTGCATGATACGTAAATTCAAGGGAAAAGCATGGATAGGTATGGGAATCATTTATTATTAAATTCAAAATACTGAGATGCATCTCTTATTATAGCACTCTGTTTTCTATATTATATTATATTATTAATCTCAATTATTATTTTAATTATATTGTGTTTTCCATGTCAAAAATTAGATCTGAACTGAATGACCAGAAATTATTTTTATATAGTTCAAATTTTGTCTTCAAATGTACCGGTTTCCATGAAACGTTTTATACAAATGTATTTGTAATGATAATACAATATTCCGCAGTAATTTATTTTAATTGGATTTAGAATTTTTTTTATTTAGTGTTGAATTTTTTGCATATGCCCCTCTTGTTTAACGATCAAACTAATCATCGCAATATATCTGTTTTTACATCATTGAATAGACCAAAATTAATCTTCTGAATCAAGTTTCTTAGCCCAAAAGGGACATTAGTCCCAAATGGGATATTAGTCTCAAAACGGCATTTGCGTCGAAGCACTTAAATGCTTTGTATCACATGTCAAATTGCTGCCACCAAATGTTATCGCCCTGTATTATATTTAAAGAAATTCAATAATGAAAAAATCTGCATTATTGTTGTAGAGACATTAGGTATTTTGGAAAATCCGGAGAGATGAAATATTAGCAACGCCTTTGCCGGGAATCGAACCACGAACCTCTGAAATACCGGCTCAGCGCGCAGAACCACTACACCACAAAGGAACACTAAGAAAGTGGGAGAAATACCTTATATACTCCCCTTTTTTAAAGGGGGACTGGGGTTTTAGGGGACCCAATCGCCAAATCCTGGGTGTGGAGAATCGTCATCCAACACCCTTTTAGTTCGGGCGCCACTGTAGTTGACATTAGGATATTTTTGGAAGCAGGAAAGATGAAAAATTAGCAACCGCCTTCGCCGGGAATCGAACCACGAACTGCTGGAATACCGGCCCAGCGTGCAGAACCACTAGACCACGAAGGCACACTAGGGAAGTGGGAGAAATACCTTATATTGTATCTATGTTTCTCACACTGAAAAAACAAAGATACCTAGAGCCATCAAATTTTAAATAATTTAATTTTCAACCCGAACATGGGCACCTGGAAGCTCTGATTTTGAATTTCGAATTTGTTCTATTATCTTTTTCATATTTTGTAAGACTAACGAATTTTTTATTCACAAATTCAACGATTTCAAAGCGAGCAATATTAACGCTGTACGGAAAAAAACATCTTTATCCTCCAGCGCGTGAGATTGTCTATCGCAAATTCTAAAGATTTGCTATTTTTTAAATATTTTGTAATTTTGCTGCTTTTGAATTTAACTTTGTGTGACGTAAATGCCAAGATTAATTTTATAATAAAGTAAACACACAAAACTTTAAAAAGAAAAATAAAGATTTGTAAAGCCATCCTAGTAAGAAAACTGAACATTGATATGATGAAATGTGAAAAGACTGGGGGGGGGGAAGAAAGAAAAAGAAAAAGAAAGAAAAAAAAAGAAAAAAGAAAAATGTATGCCGACATTTGATGCTGCATCGGGGAATTCTTAACATATAATGTTTTCAAAATTTTTGTAATTTCTGCAATTTTTTGTAATTGTATATGAGATAAATGCGAGGAAAATAACGCTTTATAATGGAACTAAAAAGACAGAAAATAATGAGCTATTAGGAGTTAATATAGCAGCAGACTGGTAGACTGCGAGCCCAGCGAGAGCTTAAAAAACCTTAACAAACCCTTCTGGGGGAGCGTTAAAACCTGAAACCTTACAGATTTTTCTTTTTAAATTTTACTTAAAAAAACCCAAAAAGGCTATTATTCTTGAAACGCAATTTTGCGTTGCTTCACCTTTCATTCGATTATGTTGCTATTCGAAAAAAATGTAAGATATTATTATTTCATATAAATCTTTCTTTTATTAATTAACAAACTAAACTATACAAAAAATAGATACAGTTCTTAAAAATATCTTTTTGTTTAAACTTTTTAATTGATTTAAATAAAAATACATTTTTTTATATTTAATCAAACTGTTATTAATTAACAAACTAAACTGCTTAAAAGCAACAGACGCAGATCTTGAAAATACAGTTTTTTTTTTTTTTTTTTTTTTTTTTTTAATTTTAATCTGTTTGATTTAAATAAGAAAGCATTTAATTCATGATATATCTAATTAAAAACATTAAATGTTTTTATGGAATTAAACTGCATTTTTTTTTCACTTTTGAACTATGAAGAAGGGAACTATACTAATACTAATTTACTATACTAATCTACTTTTAAACTATACAGACTAATATAGCATTCTCATATTAGTCTAAACACATATCGATCTAATATCCTATAAAATGTTTTACTATTCCATCTGGGCATTCTATAATATGCTTAATTTAACCTTGCGTCACGCAAAATTACTTCGTCCATCAAAAATTCCATCAGACAGACGATTTTACGAAGGGCGTGGTGATTGGACTGAGAAGGGCAAGTTGGACTATACGGCAAAACTCAGCTGAACGCACCTGGACGCGTCCACTGTGCACCGGCTGTAGCGACGATGGTTGAACAAGGAAATGTGACAGATTCGACGGGTGCCTGCGCACCCAGAGTGACGACAGCACGCGTGGATCAACACACCCGCAAGCCACTTCTACCTCCATTCTGCAGCATGTTCAAGATACCCTGGATGTTCCCATATTGACCAGAACTACCTGCCGTCGGCTGGCCTGCACTCATGGCTTCCGTTAAGATGACTGCCATTGACCGCACATCACAAACGCCAACGTCTACAATGGTGCCGAGAGATGTGGACGACGGAATGGCACAAAATCGTATTCTCAGAAGAGTCACGCTACTGTTTCTCCAATGAGAGTCGCCGTGTACGATTGTGGCGTCGATGTGGAGACAGGTCCAATACAGCAGCAATACTGGAATGCCCCACCGCGCAACAACGTGATATCATGGTTTGGGACACAATTGCGTAGGATTCCAGGTTACCTCTAGTTCCTATTCAGCGCACTATGACTGCCCAATTATACGCAAATGATGTGCTGCGGCCGGTGACACTCCCCTACCTTCAGGGAATGCCCTATGCCTTTAGCAGTAACCCAACCACACACTGCTCGCATCAGCCAACGTGTTCTGCAAGGTGTACAGATGTTTCCCTGGACTCTGTTATCTCCTGATTTTTCTCACCAGTCAAGCACATTTGGGATGTGATTGGACGCCATTTGCAGACCCTGCCATTGTCGCGTTCAGAAGACAAAGTATGGTAAATGGTTGACAGGGAATGGAGAGCCATTCGTCAGGACTCACCCGTAGTTTCATTGGCACGTACCTAGACGTGTTGCTTCGTGTATCGTCGTCTAAGGTGGTCCTACAATCCACTGAGCCAACGCTCACCAATCCACGAGAACGCTATTCTCGCTCTGTATTATTTTCGAAATAAAGATCACTTATTGTTCGTTGTTGTCTTTCTCTGTTTGCCGAGTTTCATCATTGTCTGGATATTCCATCTCGAGTTTGCATTTTCAATGTCCGGTAGTGTACTGCCTCACTCCGAAGCAAGTTAGCGCTAATTCACCAACAGAATGTGTTACAATTAACCTAACTAGTTTTAAAGGTCTCTTTCATGTGTTGTTTCGTTTACATAACGTTCTGCCCGATGTTATGCGACAACATGAGTGAATCAAAAGGATAAATAGGCTAGTGTTTAAGCTAAGCTTAACTGCTAATAAAACTTAAAAAGTTGTCTTAGTGAACTAAAAACAAAAGAGCCGCCTAGATACGATTGTATTAGGACATTAGCAGAATTTCAAGAAACAACAGAAGTTATAATTTAGAAATTACATGTTATTGCTGCAGTTTTAAATGGCCAGCCGCTAAGTCGATATAGTGGTTGGTGACGCTGACTGCTGTATCGATGGGCCGGTGCTCAAAATACACATCAAGCTAATTGTCAAGGAAGAGGGGTGAAGACCCTCGAACCACACTTCGAGTGTTGTTCCCCGAAATTGGGATTGAAGTTTAACATTTAGACCTGGTGATACCTAATATATACTTATGGGAACGCACTTGTGATACCCTTGCTTCCGTTTTGTATCTATTCTAAATGGCCGGACACTTGCAACTTAATATATTCGCAGGGAATATCCAATATCCATCAGTCATTTAGCGGTCTCAACGTTGAGAACATCGCCCAGGGTTCACCACGCTAAGCGACCGAATTAGATCCGTGATAAAGGAAAAATTCTGTCCCACTTTTGATGGAGGAGATCCTGGGAACAGATCCATGGTTGTCCCACTCCTGTTTCCTTAGCACCAAACCTCTCGAGAGGACATTCGAATAGTCAATATTTTAAATATCGCCATGCCGCTATGTGTTTATAAATAGTCAAACCTTCTCGGTGTTCGAGTCCAGGTCCAGCGATAGGACAACCGATGTCGCTAATCCCTATATCAGTTAGGTTGGCTCAGCATGACATATCTAAGAATGCTTACATTCAAAACCTCTCTTTGACAATTTCGTATAAAAATCCGGCACTGTTAACAGCCCCACGATGTTATTCTTAGTTACATATGCCCAAGAATATTATGATATCTAGTAAAAATTATTCTACAGTGTACTTAAGTAAAACCGAATAAATTACAGAGTATTTTTCTTTATAATTTAATTTCTAACATAGTCTTCACCACTTGCTTATTATAAAATTCAATTGTAGAATATGCTGTTTTAATAATCTTTTAATTTTCCATCTCGTTCAACATCAACTAATTTCTTTCTCATTTATTCAAGGTATTGAAACTCAGCTTTTGAACGAACTGATACATCAGCAGAGTGAGATACATAGCCACCTCAGATCATTCCAAGACCGACCAGACTTGCTGTCATCTGTTATGAACTACATCGCAGGACCTCAGAACCATCCTCTTGTAGTTCACGGTCGTCAAGGTAGAGGAAAAAGCGCTCTCTTAGCGGTGGCTGCTGTTCTTTGTGGTGGTGTGTTTCCCACCATGCCAGTCCTCATAAGATCAGCAGGATCGTCCCCCGAGTCATTTACACAAGAACAAATTCTCAGAAGTGTGTGCGAGCAACTGGCCATTCTGTATGGCGATCATCCCTCACTCGCTTCTCGAGTAAGATATTTTCATTATTTCATTGTGTATTAGTCTATATTTAGCTAGTTAAATATATCAATAACCCCAAATCTTCCGGAAAACTGTATAAAAGTGCTTTTGTGTTGTAAAAAGTTTCATTAGTCAGAAAATGTTTTTACTACTTCGTCAATTTTCATAGCAAGGTACAGAGTATTCACATAAAACTTCTTTGTTTAACGTTCGCGGAAAAGTCCCTAAATCCCGGTGGTGAAGAATCAACATCCACTTAGTTCGGGCGCCACTGTAGAGATATTAGATTCTTTCGAAGTAGGAAAGATGAAAAATGAGCAATGCCCTTGCTGGGACTCGAACCACGGAATACGCGCCAAATGTACCTCTAGAATACGCGCCAAATGTGTTGACCACTACAGATTTTAGCCTTGAAATCCTGCATTCTGAGAAAGATTTACTTAAATGTTGTGCTCCCAATTACCATGCATGGAATTGGAGCCTGGGGATCCAGAGCAGAAGATCTGATTAGATTATGGATGAAGTTAGACAATATTCAAAGAGCTTGGGGTTTAGCTTTAACCCGATGTTTTAGAACGGTGCCTACCGAGGCCGTCTTTATGTTGGCTGGGCTATCGCCTCTCTCAGTTTTATACGAATTTTATTATGAGAAATTTTTATTTAGAATTGGACGAATGGAATTGAAAATGTGTGAAGATTATTTGGTTACAAAGAATGTTTTTGAAAAATTTAATATTCACTTAATACATCTTTCCAATAGATTTGGTTCTGTTTTTGATCAAAGTAATATAACTGTTGATGTATTTGATATTTACACAGATGGCTCTGGGTAGGAGCTGCCTTTGTTGCTTTTTACTATGGAATTGAGGTGGATTGTAGAATATTTGAGTACATGTAATTCAGTTTTCCAAGGAGAAAGCGTTCAAACAAGCCTTATTACGGATTAAAAATACCTTGTATATCCCCACGTCTGTAAATATTTACACTGCCTGCCTGTCACTTCTCCATGCGCTCTTCCGCGCAGACAATTTCAATCCATTACTGATTTTAATGTAATTTTTAACATTACTGATTTTAATGTAAATACCATTAATTTTAAAGTTTTTAAATCATATACTATTGCTCTATAATGAAGTTTATTAATGAAAATACGGGGCTTGTAGGAATCTTCTGTTAAAACTCAATTCTGTATTAAAATGGGTTTTATATGGATATCTGTGGTGTTCTATGTTGTACTGGCTGCTTTCGTTTGTGGAGAGACGGGGCCCCTTGTTTTGAGCTACAAACGTGTCCAGGTGGGCTGAAGAGAGCCTCCAATTCTTACACCTCGAAGGCATGCTAAGAAGGCGGAAGAAATACCTTATAAGGGTTAAAACGTTAGAAAAGTTATCGAAAATATAAGCGAAGCTGCCATAAATTAGCTGTAGTCCGGAAAAATGGCAAGTGATTTTATTGGTTTTTGATTTCATTAGTTCGTCTCATTTTGCTGAAAACACTAATGACATAACGGAAAATAAACATCGATCTGGTTTTAATAAGATCAATTCAGTGAAATTAATTAGTGCATCATAGCGATTACTAATGAATTGAATAATGAAACACTTGTTAACATAAATGGACAACGGCTTTTGAAGAACGAGAGGACAACTTAGACAATGAGAAGTAATAACTGTACCATTCCAATAATTTAAAAAATTACTGTAATGGTTGAAATTTTATTAAGGCATATTATGGATGTTGATTCCAAAATTGGGCGTAGCCTTACAATTTTCCGAGCGATAAACATTGTAATCAGTTGCTTTAAAGAAATAAGAAAAAAAAAAAAAAAAACTAAAGAACATCGCATCTTGCAATTTTTAGAGGCTAAGAAATGAATCATGAGAAACATACATTTTTTTAAATTGTCTCTAATAAATATTTGAATCTCTATAATTATATGATTTTTCATATTATGACTTCTAAATTAAATATTTTTAAAAGCAAAAATCTTTTCCTTTTAGCCCAAAGAGGCATTAGCCCAGAAGGGCTATTAGTCTCAAAACGGCATTTTGTGTCGAATCACTTAAATGAGATGTATCACTTTTCAAACTATTGCCCTCAAATATTATCGCTCTGTATTATATTTAAAGAAACTAAATAATGAGTAATCTGCATGAATGTATATGTTTCTTGCATAGTAAAAAAACAACGGTACATAAAGTCATCCAATTTTAAATAACGTAGTCCTCCACCCGAACATGGCTACCTGGAAGCCCGAATTTGGAATCTGTTTTATTGTCTATTTCATATTTTGTAAAACTTTAATGAATTTTTGATTAAAAAACTCAAAAATTTCAAAGCAAGCAGTGGCAACACTGTGGGGAATAAATCATTTTTATCTCCAGCGCGCGAAACTGTCTACCTGAAATTCTAGAGATATGCTGTTTTTAATTATTTTTAGCCCCCAGTGGCGTTAGCCCAAATGCTCTCGAAACGTGCATGTGTCTGTAAATGAGAAAAGCTCCCGTTTAGGCTTAATATAAAATCTAAAAGCTTTCAGATTTTATTTTATTTTTATTCATATATTGTTTTTTCCCAATTTAAAAATTATAATTGCTACAAATGCGCACTTATTCTGTATTGACAGTTTACGCTCTAGCTTACGTTGTGGAAACGTCCTAATATACTAAAGCTACCGTGAACTGAAAATATTTAGCAACCACGGCTGTAGACTAAGCCAATTTAATAAATCATATACTTAACAGCACACTATGGCAATGCTACAGTAACAGTGTCAGCGATTCATAGCCTTTCAAGTTAATTATTCATTAAATAGAAAATAATTTAAACAAATCTGAATGGAAAGCTTGAAATTTAACCTTTCTTTAGCTACAACTTTTAGTAAAATTGATCTCAAAATACAAAATTACTCCTGACAGTAACTGAATTACCCCTTTCCGGCACGCTATCTTTTAAAGTCGGAGTTTTGATAAAAAAAAAATAAAAAATAAAGGTAGGCAGTCTAATTAGGCTTATAGGAGTACACAAGTAAAATTTTGTGAAGATAGCACTTATCATTTTAATTCTGTGGGTGTGCCCAAAGTGGAACACTGATTGAGCTTCGACAAGAGTGCTGAAACGAGCATTGCTGTCAATGAAGTGATCGATGAGATGCGGAGAAACAAAGAATACAGACTCCCAGTTGTCCTAGATTATCGGTGAGCCCGGTCTGGCACACCTAGAGTTCGCCGTTTGATTTTAGGCAAGATTTCAAGGTAAAAATTTAAAATTAATATAGAATACGGAGATTACCATACAGCCAAAAAATAACATAGAAATTTCTTTTCAAACAATTCCTTTTATACTCCAAAAAAATCTGGAAGATTTCTTTGAAAAATAAGGGTTTTAAAAAACTAAACATTGATAAAATATATGGACTGGTTTGCGTTGAGCTGCCATCTACTATAAATAAAGAAGGTTAAGAGTAACCTATAGTAACTTTTCCATTCAATTTTTCTTGTGCGTACAGAAGGAAATTTTTAGTTGTGTCCAGACCGGACACACTGTGCCTCAAAGGGTCATAGGGTTGGCAAGTGCTAGTTGGTTAATTTTCATACTTTATTAGTTGGATTGACGACCTTTACAGTTATCAACCTGTCAGTTAGCTTGCTGCTTTTATAGTTGTCTGTCAAACCCTTCTTGTAGTTAATTATTTTGCATATTCTTCTAAAGAGCGTACTTATGCTTACAAAATCAGAAAATCTAGAATAAAGCCAATTTTAAAAAGAATGGTTTAGTAATTTAAGTGTGTGTGTATTTAATTATGGCAAAGCTCGCTAGGGCTATCTGCCTAAAGGGAGGGATGCCTTCGTGGAGGACTTTCTAAGGGAAACTGGCTCGTATACACGTTACACATGGGGAAAACCACGAAAACACCCCTGCAGCCAGCCCGTTCGCGGGATTCGAACCTCGGACCGAACTACCAGTGTTCAGCGACTTTACCGCTCGGCCGCTGGTGGGCTTTAGTAATTTAAGATAAATGTGACAAACTTGGTCAACTTGTTTTTGTGGGATTTCAAAGTATTGTGATGTCACTAAGAACTTGTATCACCAAAACTTATAACACTGAATTCATAAAAATTTGCTTTAAATCTTAAAGGGATGCCTTCAATTTAGCTGATCAAGTAATTATGATGAACTAATTCTTCAATAAGAAATGAATATCACAGAATAATAAAGTAAATAAAAATACGTATTAATAAAGTAAAAAACATAACAATACATTAAGTAATAATACATTATAAGAATAAACTTAATAATACATTAAGTATAATAAAAATACATAATAATATATGTAATAATAAAATAAGCAGCATATTAACAAACATAATATATATATAATAATTAAGTAAGTAACCTTATAAAACACATGAAAATAAGGAATAACAATACAGTAATTTAGAACAGTACTAATTTTAAATTAATTTATAGCATATGGTTCGTGAAGAGATCTGTATATACTGAAGACAAATAGAAATGAGAATAATTTTCTTCAGCATGTCTAGTGCCTTCGCCAAAATGTCCTCTCATAAAAATTTTGCAGTATTTATTAAAAATAGCCGGCGATTTTCATTCTGTAAAAGTTGTAACACACGAGGAAACAAATTAATACACAACTCATAATACATTCTAAATTCTTCATAGTTATGTATTAGTTACTAAAATTCGTCACTTGTTTTATACTTGTTGCCACTGAAGTTGTAAAAGGCTTGTGGTTGCTATACGAACGAATGAATTATTCTCTGGAGAAAATAATTCACAGTTGCCATATTCACTGAAAGATTTTATAGAGTAGTTTTATTTATTCTTGCTATGGGGAATAGAACTGCTTTCTTATGCTTTGGGGAATAGAACTGCTTTCAGAAAATCTTTTCTGTAGCTTATTTGTGAATATTTTTCTAAAAAATTTAATTTAATACATATCGAATTCATTTACTATTTAAAGTATTTATTTTTCTTCGTTTAGAGTATTGCGGAACATAATTCCTTCTTCTCAGCATTACTGCGACGAGCACGCTCAGAACGACCGTTACTCATTATCTTAGATGGTCTCGATCAAGTTGAAGAATACAGTGGCAGGTCATTGAAATGGTATCCCAATGTTTTACCAGAACATGTTAAATTAATACTTGCTTTCCGTGACGGAAGTAACGAATTACAAGAACTGCAGGTAAGTAATGAAAAAAATTACTTTCACGAAGTTACATAATTTTTTCATTTTGATATACCTTATCACATGTAGTAATTGAATTGTTTAATGCATTAATTTTACAGTATCTCTTTTACTTATATTTAAGGTTTTTCTATAAAAAATAAACAAGAAAATACAGAATGTTCATACAGATCGGCAGTGAGATTTGATCTGAGAACATGCGCAAACGTTATTATATCATAATGAAGATTATACAACCATCAGTGTGATTCAATCGACTTTAAACTCCTATAAATTGATGCTTTCTACAATCACACCTATTAAAAGACATCTGGAGCCTCGTATTTCATATTACCTGTTTCTGACTTATAAATGCTTTATTAACTATGCTAGTTAAATAACTCCTTTTACATGATACGTAATAGATACTAATTTACCTATTACTGAACTGAAGAAAAATATTTATTTTTATAGTTATTAAATTTATATTCCTTTTTGGGATGAATTTATAGTGTTAATGATTAATATTTGAAGAATAAAAATTCCATAAAGGGCAACAACTAAAATATTTCTTTTTTTATTTTCCTAGGAACGTTTTTCTGGTGAAAAATCTACATTTCTGGAAGTTCCAGATATGGAAATTGATGATACTATGTCCATAATTCAGCATCAGATGCGTTTGAGAGGTCGTCGCCTAACAGACACACAGATGAGTTTCGCTCGAATTTGTGTCACAGAGAATTCATATCCTCGTTATGCTCATATATTTGCGCAGGTAGCTTGTACCTGGTTCACTCTTGCTATTCCAGAAAAATTTTGGTCAAAACATTCTTTAATAGACATCTTTTGTGACTATATAAGTTACGTGTCGAATACCGTGGACTTAAAAGTTTTGAACCGTTTCTTTTCCATCTTAGTTACGCTAAAACAAGGTTTAATGGAATCTGAAATTTCTCATGTATTGCAAACTAAAACAAGCAGCAGTAATGACGATAAATTAGTATTTATTTTTATGAAGTACCACATGGCTCCTTTCTTGAGAACATCTGTGAGGAGGGGACATAGTTTTATACAACTCAGAAGCCAAATTTTTCGAAAGCTGTGCAAAACATATTTGGGTACACAGTCTTTGGAAGACTGTCTGCAATATATGTTGCAGTATTTGCAAAACAATACACAAATTCATCTTATGCAAAACCGAACAGGAGAAATCAAGACAAACCATAAACATCAAAGATGGCGGGAATTGGAAGAAACAACTCATCTTCAAATCAAATTAAATATTTCGGTGCGAAAATATTTCTTTGACCATATATGGCTTTTTGAACGTATGTGCTCAGGGGATCCTTATCTATTGCTGGAAGAAATTAAAATGTACAAGAGGCGTAATCCTGATGACAGGGAATTTGAAATTCTGAGGAAGTTCCTTCAGCTGTCAGCTTATGCTCTTCGGCATGATGGCAGACAGCTGTATACACAATTATACGGAAGGGTCAAAGGCTATTTTGATGAACCAGAGAACAGTATTAAATACCCCACAATGAAAAAACTCTTTCAGATAAGTGCCATTCCCCCAGTGCCAAGTTTTCATTCTAGTGGTCCCTGTCTAAGGACACTCGCAGACGCTCAGAAAGCTTTCCCCAAGTCTTCCAGAGATCCTTACACTTTAGATATAATTACGTGGCTGGACAAAGAAGCGAGACATTTTGTGACATACTGTAGTGGAACAAGTGAAATCTCAGCTTGGAAAACCAATCATATGAAGAAAATGGCAACTTTGGGTGAAATGACTTGCATCGATAATATTAATGCATTAGGAAGGCAGGCGGAAGTTGTTCTTTTGCATCATGACCGAATGGAAGTATTCGATCTTGCCAAAAATGTTCTGAAAATTCAAATGGTGGAACTCATTGACGTCTCGCAAGGAATAAAATTATTAGACGGGGGGAAGAACGTATTAGCTATCTCTGCAAATCGAGATGAAATTCTGAAATTTGACACGACTTCTGGACATGTTGTGAGAAGAATAACCTTAGGAGAAAACAGGTTTGTTTAATATTATGCCATTCATATTCTGTTTAACTTTTTTATTTAATAAATGTAAGCTAATATGATATCTTTTACGATAAACCGAATTCCATTTCTAATAATGATAAATTATACTCGTGCATTAAATGTGAAGATCGTTTCTGTTTTATTGTGCAACCGAATAGGAGCTAACTTCTGTATACAAAAGGGCTACTTTAAGATGCGTGTTTATGTTTTGAGAGGAACAGTTTGTTGCTTAGCCAATATTCCAATCTTAGAATAATAAATATTAATTATTTGAAAAATATTAGCCATATTTAATTCAAATTATTTTTTACAGTTGATTTCGCTCATAAAATAACACTTAGTTTGAAGATTATGCTCGTAATAAATTCAAAATAATGTTTAGAATACAATTTTGGTAAAATTTTTATCTGTTGAAAAGTAATAAAATGTCATATAAATTAATCAAAATAGTATGGGCATTCATGCGAAGCACAAATACACATAAATTAGATCGCATCTGTACGTTATTAGAAATCAGGAAGTTCACTGTACATCTGTGTACAGTAAGCTGCCAGAAGAAAGCACGGAAGCATACAGGAGTGTATCAGAATGTTTCCGGACAAGCTATATTGATAAAAAAATGTATATTACTTACCTAAAGTTTGAGTACCATCTCCTCTATAATAGAAATCTTGCGCAGCAATACACCGGTCCAGCATTCTTGTCATCACTGGAATGTTGTCTCGACGTCATTTTGCGTGAGCAAGTCCGTAATCTTTTGCGTTTCAAGCTGGTCTCATCACCGGTGATGATTTTGGACGTGAGGAACTGGCCATCCTCAGTACGCTCTTGGAGATTTTGGCACAACGCATATCTTCTCACCAGCTGAGGCCAGCAGATGGAAGATCAATTTGGCAGCATATGCTGCCTGCTCAACTCTGAGTAGCGCGGAACCTTTCGACGCATCAATAATGTCTGCAGTGTCTTGATCTTTCTCCGACGATCCGCATGGGATAAATTCCCGAATTCATTCCATATTTTAGTGGATGATGTTTGTGAAAAGTCTTCCAGGTAGCTTATCGCCTTCAATAAACACTTTTAAGCGTTTGAAGCGCCTGTGCTGTTTTGAAACATTTGATTCATTAACTTATCGCAATAAGCTTGCCGAAGGGCGGTAATGTTCTATTTATGAAGTTCAAAGCAAAATTTCATGTTAGCTCATTTTTCCTCGATTTTCTTTGCACACATACACTGCTTTATCAAAGTTGAAAGTCATTCTAGCTGGGAGCCTAAACCTGTATTGCCCTTTATTAGTACTATAGAACACATCCAGGAAAGTTTTGATACAATCATATACATATATCGGAAAATCCACAATCAATACTGGCACACACACACGCTGTTTTATCAAAGTTGAAAGTCACTCTAGCTGGGCGCGTAATTCTGTATTGCCCTTTGTTGGTACTACAGAGCACATCCAGGAAAGTTTTGATACAATTGTATATCCATGCCGGGTATCGGCATCCGGAATTCGCAGTCCGTGGGATATAGTAAAACACTCAGAAGTCACGTGCCACTATAGTCTGTTATTTCAGAATAGCCATTTCAATGTTATTTTTTCCTCGCTACCATGTCTCATAATCACAATAACGACTGCTGCGGAAAAAAGTCGAATCTCTCATTTGCTAAAATCCTCTAATGCCCTTTATACGGTGATAATGGATTGGATTGGATTATTCAGCTATGGCAAAGCACACCAGGGCTATCTGCCTAAAGGGAGGGACGCCCATGCAGCCAGCCCGTTCGCGGGATTCGAACCTCGGACCGAACTACCAGTGTTTCAGCGTCTTTACCGCTCGGCCGCTGGTGGGCACCGGTGATAATGACACATATTACTATCGCAAATGACGGAAGGGTGGCTACATCCTTTGAAGTGCTTTTTTTAAAGTAACAGAGAACTATTTCATGTAGTTTTAAATACAATAGTTCAGCATAAGTAATATCCAAAGAACACTTTTTTTAGATCTTTTCCATCATGGGTATTCAGCTCTTAATACTACATTGTTATTTGAGAGAAAAGTGATATCTATTAGAGCGCGCTAACTCTTAAAAATGGGAAAATTAATCTTTATTTGACACTCAATTTAATAGAAATTTATAATCAAATTAACTGATCTTGAAGAATAAAAATGTGCTCTTTGCTAGCTGTTATAAGTTACAGACGGAATAGTAATTAGTGTCACTGACTGCCCTACCGAAGAGCTCGAATCCTGGAGGAGTGGATGTTTGTAAGCGTATAGTATCTGTGCGGCAAGGGTGGCTCAAAATACACGGTGAACCGAAATCCTCTTGAGAGGTTGTGGTAGGGGAAGAAGGGTGGGAGACCGTCGGGCCGCCCACTTCCCGAGATGCCCTCCCTTCTTAAGCCTTTCGGAGCCGAACCTTTACAATTAGCAAACCTCGGCGATACTTAATATGCCAGAATGGATGTACAAATGCCGGCCTTGCTTCACCCTGAACCTATTATTAATTGCAAAATAAGAGGGAGTGGATAAAGAGAAAAAAGTATACCCTGCCTAACTATGCAATGTTTAGATAATCGTTTATTTATTATTGTAATAATGCTGCAAATGCTCATAAAAATTATCATTCCTGTTTATTGTAAAACATACGCATCATAAATTAAATCAGTTAGATCTATTATTAAAATTAAAATAAGGAATTTATATTATTAAGGTCCTGTTTTTGTTATGGTAAATTAAATTGTTAAAAGTCTTGTTAAATAATTCTTGTTATGCTTTGTAAATTAAATCAGTTAGATTTATCATTAAAATTAAAATAAGGATTTTATACTATTCAGGTCCTGTTCTTGTTTTTACACTTGCTGAATCTGTAAAGAAACATAAACTGATTACTTTAAAAGATAAATTAAATGTCTTATGCTTTGCCAAATGGCAACATTTTTAAGGACTGGCTAATTACCAGGCAATTTAAAAGATTACCCATTAAAAATCTATGTGCTTTCGAAGGCGAGTGGATGATATTTGGATGGTAGCATAACATAAATAATATAAGGGACAATTAAAATGTTAGAAATTCAGAAATTAATTCTGCACCTTGGATATTAAAATGATCAATGTCCAGTTTACATGTTTGGGGGACAAAGATTCTTACTTTGGACATGTTTTTGAGCACATGAGAAGGACAGAAAAACAATAACCGCGAGTTTTTTTTTTTTTTTTTACATGCTTGTACTTTCTATCTTAAGACTATAAGGTATTTCTCCCGCCTTCTTAGCGAGCCTTCGTGGTGTAGTGGTCTGCACGCTAAGAGCGTAATTGAGAGGTCCGCGGTTCGATTCCCGGCGAAGGCGTTGCTAAGTTTTCATCTTGCCTGCTTCCAAAAAATACCTAATGTCTCTACAAGACATTTGCTACAAATAATGTGACTGTATATTAGTTCTTTATCATTTTAAAGTAGTAAAAGAGTCGTCTTGTGATCCTAGGTACATGAATGCTTCTCTGTACACAGGCAACTAGACTGCCTTTTGGTGAGTGCCAACGAAGAGGTATGCGTCTCTGGAGATGCCATCCGCAAACCGTACCCGCTGATTTCCTGGACAATTCAGAGTGGTGTGCTGCTGCATGAATTTTCCATTCCCCATCATGAATACATCACAAGACTTGCAAGGATTCAGAGAGATGGAAAAGTGCTATTTGCTGTTGCAAAGGTAAGATTTTTTTAAAAACATTTCTGTGCCACTTACTATTTGTTTCCAGAGTATTTGTTAGCAACACTAGAATAATTGTAATAGCAATATTCATTGCAGTTTCCGCGTAGTAACAAGTTTATGCCAGTTTTTGACAAGCGCTTGCATACTGCAGGAAAATCAAATCCAGATAAGAGCACATATACGCATACAGCGCCGACCGAGAACGAACTCTCCATTTTCCTGAAAAAGTACATGTCAGTCTAGAAATACATGAAAAATTAGCCGATAACATTCTGCTATATATTGCCAGTTTATTAGCTTTAACTATATATTTCTGCTATATATTGTCAGTTTATTTCCTTAATTAACAAAAGTTAATTAAGTAAATTAATTTTTGAGAAATAAAGTGCTTTGGATCGCGACTTACAAAATTTAAGTGCTGTTTAGCACACGTTAATCGGTTCTCGCAATGAAAGTACAAAGTAATGAAGTAATGATTTGGCAAAGTACAAAGTAATGATTTGGCGAGAAATCGCCCATTTGGTGACAAGATTATCGATAGGCCATAGACAGATGGAGGAACGCGGAGATTCAGTGAGTGCCTAATCGACTCAGTTAATAGTCAGTGAGCGAGAGTCTCGTACTCTAGTGTCAAGTTGGTCGTCGAGTGCATCGAGAGAGTCTCTTAGTGTATCGCGAGTTAATGCATCGTCGAGTTTCATCTTAGAGTTTGTTGAGCTCCGAGAACGACCGAGTCGGGAGCTATACTCTAGTGTCTAGTGTATCGTCGAGTGCATTGCGAGTTGTAGCGTGGAAAGTCTCGAGAGTACCTAGAGTTCCGAGAACGACCGAGAAGAGTTAGGAGCTGTACTCTGGTGCTTTGCCGTGAAGCTGTCTTCACCGTTACAGCCTGATAACTTGAAGGCTGTAGCGCTGATTGTTTCAGCGTGTTTATAGTAGTTCTTTGTCAACTATAAACGTGATTTGGGAGCTGTAATGAGTAATACTGACTAATAAATTATGTTTCGGTGCTTCATCAAGTGTCGCCGTTATTCACTTCAAATCTACGAATCTGAAGAAGAAAAACGCAGCAATATTATAGAGTCTCATTCTCTTAGGCAGCATAAACTAACGACCTCTAAAAAGACTGTATAGAGAATTATTCTCAGGTCTTAACACAGCAGAAAAGTCAGGAGAAGGGTGTAAAGGACCCTTTATTCAATCACATATAGTTGAACAGATGGTCCCCTTTGGGCTTACATAAGGCCAACACTTATGGCTTAATTCAAACAGAATGTTGAACTCAAAATAAAATGTAATTAAATTGGTCTAGCGGCTCACAGGATGAATTAAAGAGCAGGAAGACTCTGACTTGTAGAAGCCGGCGGAAACAAGCTTAATGACTAGAAGCACTCAACGCCACAGAATCAGATCGTTAGTAATTCAAAGTAACAACGTGACCTTCAAGCAGGCATAACACGCTCTAAAATCACTTCCCAAACCTTCGCTTAAATAGCATTTCTTCCTCCGTCAATTTGAATACACGAGCACTATCTCATTAGCATTCTGGCAGGAAAGCGTGGGTGAAAACGAGACTGAAAGGAAAATAGTTTTAGCTAAAAATTAACTGTTAATCAAACTTTATAAATCAGCTTATTCGTTAGGATCAACTTATTTAACTCTCACCTAATTTAATTTCCATACAAAACTCGCCTTATTTAATTTCATTAGGAATCCCTTAATAAATACGTATTTCTAGTGTAACCCTTCAGTGATAATTATTTCATAGTGACCAATGTCGTAGCAGCAATAAAAAACTACGTACAACTTAAGTAGTTTGACTTAAAATGAATATTTTGATATTTGAAAAATGGTGAAAAAATTCATTTGGAATACTTTCAAGGTTATCAAAATATACAAGTGTAAAGAATTGAAAAATAATGAAATAACATTATAGAGTTTTATTCAGAAGACACGCATAATATTTTAATACATATGATACTTGTAATTTTCCAAGTTTATCAAATTTTGAAATTTTGAAGAAAAACTTTTTATCTGATATAAAATTTCAAAAATTTCTGACCAAGTTATTTAAAATTTTAAGCTTGTCTTTAGATTTTAAACGTTAACATTATTTTCTTCCAGGATTTACTGGATTCATCTCCTAATTTTCTTCTTGCATACGACTTATGTTCTGGGATCATACTATGGGAAGAAAGACCAAGTTCGAGCATCACCGCTATTGAGCTTGACTACGAAAGCGAAAGGATCATATTTGCAACTCGGGATGGAACTATACAAGGCTGGGATACAGATGGAGAGAAAAAGTATGTGTGTAATTCTTACAAATAAACGTGATCACACGCACACACACATATACACACACACACACACATATATACACACACACACACATATATATATATAAAATATTTAAATCAGCTTTATAATTTAATTTAATAATAGCCTCTTAATTCCTCATTTTTAATCTGGGTATTTCCTATTTATTCTAAAAAAATTAATCACATTTTTGGACTGCATCATTTCTAGATCATAAGTTATGAACAAGACTCAATTAATAGGCAGAAATTAGTCCGTTTAAGCCAAAAGACCTGTTATTAACTAAATAAAAATGAGTTAGATATTCTTTTCAGTTTAAGTTAATCGTTAAGAACAGAAATAAACGAGATCCTTTCTTAAAAAAAATATTCCCCCGAAACTCTCATATTCAACCTCAAAATCAAAATAAAAGTAAAAGTAATATATTTTTAATATTAAAATTCAAAATTAAAAGAAGATCAAAATTTACATAATCTTTTAAATTAAAGTTTAACAAAAAGTAATTATTTCTTTATTTTAAGAACGAAGTCAGGAATGAAATTAAAATAAACTTACTTATCTGGAAAATTTAAAACGAAATGGCTGGAAATGTAATTGTACTCAGTGATGGAATATAAGGGGTTGTCATAAAAAGTGTTGCTCTCTATTTTAGATACGTTAGCCTTAAACTGGCGAGAAAATCTTACTTTAAATTAAAAGGTTTCTTTCAGATAATATGTTAAAAGTCGGCCGGTTCTAAAATAGCGCTTGAAACTGCTATTAAATTAGAATTAAAATTCCATATGTATAATATATATATACTGAAAACAGCATTTTTAAATACTGGCGTATTGTAGATAATGGCGGCGGTGTGAAGTTGAACCTCTACCTGATTATTATTTTTATTTTGATGTAATTTAGTAAATCGCGATTGGCAACAGTTGAGTTTTTACATCTACGTTTTCGAGTTTGTTCTATTGTTTACTTTCGTTTTAAGTAATGAGAATAATGACTTTTTAAGATGTTTTTTATGAGTATTTAAAAACTGATGAGTAATATTTTATGCCATCTATGTTCTGAGTATTGCTTTGAGGTGTCAAAGCTAAAACTAACACTTAATTAAACTTGTAAATAGAATTGTAATATTAAACTGTTTGTGTTGTGACGAGATGTCTCATTGGATAATTGATTGTATACTCATTTTCCATCATAATTCTTCTGATATCGAAGGTAAAACGGGATAAGCGGCATTTATAATCAGAACTTAAATTCGGTAATTTGTTGTACGAAACAAAAAATTATAAAACATCGAAATTTGGAAATTATTTTTCAAAAGAACAATGAAATAACAAAATAAACTAGGTAGTAGTAAGAATAACTTTTTATCTGCTGCCGTTTTATCTATAGCACATAAAAACATATGCAACAACCAAGCAGGTTAGAATAAATGGACTAAGCCTCTTTCGTATGTCTCGGAAAATGAAAATGAAGCCATGAAACGTCATAGTTTAACGTCACGACTTATCATGGTCGCATAAGCGGAATTGCGGTTTATTTCGTTTACATTCTCATCGGTGTTATCTACATATTAGTTATTCATCATTGAACGTTTACGAGTCCCCCGTTCTAATTTAATATTTAACACAAAAGACTTTTTACTTAGTATATAGAAAAATCACAAGAACTGCAAATAACTGTTTGAAATTTAATAAAATCTAGGTACGTGAAAATATGTAAATGGTATATAAAACAAATGTATGCATAGTAAAACTTGGAAGATAAGTGGAAATTTCAATGGTATTTTATATAAATTATGCCTAAAGACACTTTTCTGAGCCGGCGGACATTGGTATTTGCTCTCAAAATCAGTGTAATTTTATTTTTTACAATATTTTTTGTAGTTCTATCCGCACGCTGTTTGACGGCCATGGTAAGTCGTGACGTCAAGTGTCCGACATTTCCATGGCTTCACTTTTGTGATTTATCAGGCTTACTCCATCTATTCTAACCTACTTGGTAGTAACTTTCAAGATAATGCTCTGTTGTCAAGCTTAGTGAAAAGCTTTGAGAAATGTTTTCAACACAACCAAAAATAATAATCAGGTATAATTTATAATAAAATAATTTAATAATACTATATATATAATAGTTATAATAATTTTATAGTCAGATACTCCTGCCAAGCCTAATATACAACTGAGACTATAGAATAAAAATATTTCTCAAATCGTTTGTTGGCGAGACGTTTCATTTCGCTTTTTTGAATAGTTTTCATTTCTTCTGCGTAAAGAGATCATGAGTAAGAAAGCAACAAGTGACTGCAGCCAACAGTAAAAATTTAATGACTCATGTAGAAATTTCATTCGCATCCGAGACGGAAAAAGTTCCACATGAGGGAGTGTTTTTCAACTAAAAAAGCATAATTCATTCTATAAAAGTGTTGTAATCAATAAGAAAATCAGGTCGCACCTTCCTTAATATAATCTTGGAATTGCTAAGTCGTGGTTTGGAAATAAAAATGAAATTAAAATAAATTAAACCCTCAGTCTGGAAATTCAATGTTATATTTTAACATTTCAAAAAGGTTACCATGCATAGTTTCTGAAAGTTAAGGAATGACAAAACAAAATTATGCAAATATTTCATTTCTTTTCTTAAATAATAATAAAAAAAATCTGTAATAGATCGCATTCATAAAATTAAATCTTTACTACAGAATAAAATAAAAACTTAATCAAAAAGAATTTCAGTTTTAAGATTTTAAGCTCTTGTTTCTGCATTTTTCCCTTATATTTATTTTATATAATTTCTTCCATACAACATGATATAACTTTATATCAATAAACAATTAATTATAAAGTCTATAATATTTTTTAATCAATGCCATCTTGATTATGCCAATCAATTGTCCATGCATATTCGGCTATAGACCCATTGATTATCATTGACCCCTTTAAAATTCTATCAACCGCCACAGGGTCAATATCTGTTGGAAACCCCTGTTTTGAAGGTTAACTTACACTACAGTGAATAAAATAGTTTTATATTTTAATAGATAAATGCAAGATCTATGTATCACAGAAATAATTGTACTGAAAACTGAAAATAACAAAACTTCAAAGAGGAGTGTTTACTTGCTTGCACGAAGTAAAGGAAATAATGTAATCACGAAAAATTTCGAGTACCAAATTTCAACGAAAATATCCATTTTGACTGCTCTCGAATCCATTTGAACAATCTTTTTGCGTGACGTCTGTACGTATGGACAGAGTAAAGGACTCTTTTCTCCAAAACGGATTGCAAAATGGATTAAAATTGTAGCTGCAAATGTTAATTGAAATAAAGTTGAACATTTAATCTTACTCGACTGTTAAGTTTCTTTTATGGATCTGCGTTCTACGCCATAAACATTGCTACGTCTTTTTCATCACACACACATATTCTAATACCCGATTCAGTGAGCTCAGTTTTTTATTCTTATACGTTGGTAAATTTTACATTTGTTACTTTAAAAGTGATTGAATTTTATTTTCCTTAAGTTCCAATTAATTAGGCTTTAATCTGCAAGCAATACTTGTAGACTTATCAACAGTGTAAAAGTTTAAATGGCGCTAGGTTTAACGAGGCCCCCATTTGTTTACTTTTGAAACTCTTAGTAGAGTAGTGAATTAAGTCAGTTAGTGTACCAACTTAAGTGTCTTTTTGACCACAATGAAATTCGAGGAAATATGTTTAAATGAAGTGTCGCAAACGATGTGTATATTTTAATAGGCCATACAAGGAAGTCATGTGGCGTACACATCAGATATTTTTTAACCCCTTAACTGCCGCGGGCGTATATATACACCTTGCTCAGCCGATGCGTTAACTGCCCCAGATGCGCAGCCGATGCGTTAACTTTGCGAATAATTTTAGGTGTAGCAGCGCAAAGCAAATGATAGCAGTTTGGAAGGACGCATATATACGCCTGGGGCAGTTAACGCATCGGCTGAGCAAGGCGTATATATACGCCCACGGCAGTTAAGGGGTTAAGGTATTAACATACTGAATCTCTAAACCCCTTCCCGTTTAGCCCACAAACGATGACCTAGCTGTGACAACGGCATCTCGGAGGCATTAGGAGTTAGTTTCAAGACCGAATTAATGAATGAATTTTAAAAGAAGATGCTTTCATATTGTGACAAATTATTGCAGTAAAGTAGAGAGAAAATTTACTAAGGAAATAAAATATTCGATTTTTCTTTTTTACAGTTGACCAATTCATTTAAAAATTATGAGAAATTTATGAATAATTTCTATTTAAGGTTTGCTATCCATTACTGGGCAAGTCGTGTGGACACGATTATAACATCTAAGAATAGCATTTTTCTTACTTGGAACTCAGCTGGAAATGATAGAAGCATGACCTTATGGAATGCCAATGAAGGTAATTTTACAGATGATTTTTAAAATAGTATTTAGAAATAGTTTTAAAGATACTTTTCAAAAATGCATACAGTGAAACACAGGAAACCATTTCAGATGCTAATTCGGCACTTTTCCTATTAATTTAATACTGTATTATGGTGTTGTGCAAAAATTATGGACGATGCACGTCTTTATATGTAACGTCGAGCATCAGTATTTCGAATCGGTACGAAACAATACCATATTATTGTCGAGATGCAGGATTATGTTAAAAGTCAAAAACACTGGAACAAGGAAAAGAATCTTACGTTTCAAAGGTTCATTATTAAAAAGTGCATATAGTAGGACAGCACAGACACAGAAAACTTCTCATAGTAGGCCAAAAAATAAAAACTTCCATGTAATAAGCGGTAAGCAAGCTAAATGCACTCTTCATCAGGCCACCACTGGCTGCGATGCAAGAATATATACCGTGTCTTCATGCTCAGTACTAGACTATCAGCTAGCTTTCAGAGTATTATGGCTCATTTCTCTTGTAGGCCCGATCGCAGCTGCAGAATCCTTGTTGGTGGCTGGCGATAAGTTGCCATCTGAGAACCTGCCTGGTTCCTGAGAACTTCGTATACGTGTTCGATTGGATTTAAATCCAAGTATCTTCACTCGCCAGATCCGACAGCTCTGATAGCCATGTGTGAGTGCTGTACAACATGTGTAGCGTTCTCGCTTAAGAAGAGGAATTTCTTTAAGGCCTCACAACACCACGGAAGAAAAATCTCGGTACAATACAGCTATAAAATATACTTTTTCACGCGAGAATTTTCACCTGTAAAGCGTTGTACTGGAAAGATTGCGTGTTTCCTGCTCTCTCCAGAGGATTAGACATACGGAATCGTTAATGACATTCATCCATAAGGAGTATTCTAACCCACATTGCTGAATTTCACAATCTCTGGTTTCCAGCACAACATAAAAAAAGAAATATTTATTTTTATTAATAATAGATTTCAAAGGCCCACATAATATCACGAATAAATTACTTGTGCGCAGTCTCCTGGTCACAATAATATCGGCTGGCCAGGTAGCATGTTGTATTTTCGCCCACTGTCTGCCTTCAAGACGATATACCGATCTTTCGTTGCTCACGATCGATCATTGTTAAAGCTTTGAACAATTGTTCGCTATATCATAAAAGCTCATAATACGATACTGTGCCCAAACTTCTTGGCCGCATTTCGACCTTCTTCCAACTTTCCAATGATTCAAAAGTCTTTGATAAAATCTTTGAAATGTAAAAAATATTTTGGGCACTCCGCTTTAAAACTGAGAAAGTGAAAAACAGTCCAGAGTCCCAAGAAGCAGTTTTTTTTTTTTTTTTTTTTTTAATAACAGACTTAGCTAAATTAACTGTTAAACAACAAAGTACACTCTTAGGACATGACGGGAGAATTAGACACAACAAAATTCCTTTGTTGTACAAATTATGAAGAGGCTTCTTTTCTAGTCAACAAAGTTTACGATGGGGTGAATGCTGCAAGATTTCAGACCTCGGTCCTATTCTGCAAGTAGAGCATCAGAGCTGGATTGGCTGTTCGTATAAACAATTCTGAGATTTTTTCTTTCGCCATGGTAGACAGTTGAATAAATAAATCTACAGTTACAGAGAGGAAGAGAAACAGATCTATTAACAGGCATAGAAAAAGAAACTGCGCACGCGTAGATAGTCTTTTTTTTTTTTTTTTTCAGCTTACGGATCTGAAACATTGAATAATTTACTACTTACTAAATAAATACGAGAACTCCTTTACAAATAAATATTTACTCAAGTCTGATTTTATGATTATTGTATTTTTAATTTTTTAACGGCAAAATTTCTGGGGTTTGATTACCTTGTTCAAGTGATTAATTTGTTAAGCTAAGGTCTTTTTGTTTAACCCACTAATTAATTTTTGTAACGCTAAGTGCGTAGACAATTAAACTTACGTTTTCTATATTTCAGAACTCGCGAACACTGAATTCGAGTGGGCTTGCCAATAGCTTTAAGTTTTTTGCGTAATATTGACGATAACAATTACTTATCTTTTTGTTCTAAATTCTTAATTTCATTATGTAATATGCATTATTCGATTTATTGATCTAAATAATTAAAATGTAACTCTATTTATTATTCTTTATTTCCTGTTGAAAATTTGTAATTGGAATTGGAATCCCTTCCCCCCTTTTTTTTCCCATTCGAAGAATTAACACGTCCTACTTATTTCCTAGAGCAGTAATCTTAAACTCAAATTGCATGCGGGTCGACTGCAATTTGATTCTAGAAGCAGCTGACGAGCCGATTTTTTTAAAGAAAACAAATTTTTTAACTAAACTTTTAATTTCATTCATTAAATATTAATCAAAACCTACACGAACATTAATAATAATAATGGAAAGGGAAAAAATTCCCACTTATGTTTATTTTCTGTCGGAAATCGAACAATTAGTATGCGCAAGAAATTTATGTTGGCTTGTAATTCAAGGGGTTTCCTGATTTTGGAAACTTTTCATTTATGCAAAATTAATCTTAAAAGATTCTTATTTGCTTTACTTTTAGGTAAATTACCTGTTAAATAATACAGTTTTATTTTCTGAAACTTTGACTTTAATCAATTTTGTTTTGATAATGTTACTTAGCAATTTATACTGCTTTATACTGTTTAATTTTTGCATTGTATGATTTGCTCAGGGCACACCTTAGCTGTTTATAGCTTGATGATTAATTTTAAAAAAAATGTTTATTTTTATTGGCATTATTCAATGACCTTAGACTATTATATCATGAAAATTTTAGTATTCTTGAAATATTTTAATTTACTTTAAATTTGTTTATTTTGAATTTTATTTTCGTAATCATTGAGACACAATTCAGAAACATGGTTCTGTTGAAGCATTTTTTGGTTGCATCCTGAAAAAGACCAAAGAACTTTCAAATCTTACTTTGTTTCGTTTTTGTTGTTTTGTTTAGTTTTGATTTACATTCTTCTTGTTAATCAGTTTACTACTTTTATTGCTTAATTATCTCTTGATTATGTATATGTGCATGTGTAATATACCTTATTTACTCAAAAATAAGACCCTCCTTATATTTCAGGATAAATTTTGAGAAATAAAAATGCAGGTGAATATTTATTTTATCTTGCAGTAATTCTGTGGGAGAAAATCTTAATATTTTAATACTGCAGTTATTTTATATAGTATGATAATTAAACTCTTTTGTTTCGTTTTGCAGTTTCATTTATAGAAATAGCTATTTATAAGATCCTACCAAATATAAGAACATAAAAACACCAAAAAATAGCAGGTCTAAGTACATAGGACAATCATAAAACAATAACTGATAACAGAATTGAAATAATAAAGATTTTCATCTCTACGGAAATGAATTTTAAATTTAGAAAATTTGTATTTTTGAGTGATAGCCACTGAATTTTCTTTTACTGGTTTCGTTAGTATTTGTGTAAATATTTAAGGAATTTTTCTTTTTTAGGGCATCGTTTGGCTACATTTACTGCAGATTTCAATATCTTGCAATGTGCATTATCTGAAGATGGATACAGCATTGCTTTCATCTTACAAGGAAAAGCATTACCAGCCTTAATAACACTGCAGAATCAGAACCAAGAAAAGATATAAATCAATATTGATGCAAGATGAAATAATATATTTTTATACAATGCTTTGTCGAATTGGAGCACACTAATAAACTATTTAAAATCTAAAAGAATTTTCATTGTTTGTGAAATACTGAGTTCCACCATTTGTAATACTAAAAAGTCAAAGAAATATATTAATTAGACAAAGGTTAAAAATAAATTACACAGCAAACTAAAAACTATGATAAAATGAATTGTATATTCTAAGTGCTAGTTCTGCATATCTGAGAAAATATATATCTGAATATTTTATTTTGGAAAATGTAACCCTGTTAAACGGTTTTGAAAAACACCAAATATATTTTTTTAAAACTAATTTTACCTATTTAACAAACTACCCTAAAATTTATTGCAAGAAAGAAATAATATATAATGATTTTAATGAGTCCAGCTAATAATTATAAAATAATACAGATGAAAAAATTGCATATACAGCTCTTAAATCCCCTAATTCGTTATTCAGTAACAAAACAGATTGAAAGAAAAATATCTTACTTCAGGCAATGGCAACATTCTTTTAAAATCTCACAGTTAGCCGATTAAATTTCAGACATTAATATCTTTGTCAATTGGCAACACATTGCTCTTAAATTGCTGAGTTTCTTAATCAAAATTTCAAAAAAGTCTTATGCAATCTAAATAAATAAGAAAATTCGAAATTAAAAACTCCTGCTTCGAATTGCACATGTCCGGGTGGAAGACTACATGCTTTCAAAATTTGATGGCTCAAAGAGTAGCCGATTTTCCACATTCCGAAGAACATATATAAATACAAACTCTATTGTTGTTGTGAGTGATCTCACTTGTCTTGCCTCATCAGTACAAGCCCACGAAATTTACCTTGGCAAGAAGCACAAGATTACGTCTGTTACTGAAAGAGCCTTGAGCACTAAATAAGTGGCAGTACGATTTTTCTCAGTCCTCCCCCCCCCCAGATATTGCAGGAGAGCACCATAGAGGTAAGAAATGATTTACTTCTTACCTCCCATGGACAGCTACTCGGGGCGGAGATCTGAAGTTAAGAACTTTTTAAGAACTGAAATGTTTATATGGAGACTGGTATTTTTTAATTTTTACCGATTCAAATAATATAAAAAATAATGAAATACTGCATTTTCTAAATAATAATTTTAAAAAAAAGGTTTCTATATAATTTCTTTATCAGGCTTTAGTTTCATTTTTTGCATAAATGTTTTATAAAAATGTTATATGAAATGTTTCATAAAAATATTTCTGTTGCTTCACTGCATTAAAAGAAAACTAAAATTATATTTTTGAGTTGGCACCAAAGGGAAGCCAAGCTTCAAGAAGTTGAAGAAAATATATTTTACTTTTAAGGGAATATACTATATAAAAATTAAATTGCTTATTTATCAAAAAAGGGTGCTTTAACACATTTCTCTTCATTTATGAATGGTAAAAGTGTCTATGCAAAAACATGCAGAAATAAAGCTATGCAGACTTCCGTAAGATACGTTGTAAAGTGAAAAATAGAGTTCAATTTTTATATTAAAGAGCAGATGTCGGCAAACCATGTTGTAACATATTGTTCTTTTACATGAATTTTTTTTTATCAAATTATGCACTCTAACACAATTGATAGTTGTGAATAATGACCAAATGTGACACTATTAACATTGCATATTCCCACTTTGTCTCTTTTGCCACAGAACAGGTGTGGCCAGTTCTAGCAGTTTTGCTGTGCATGTTATATTTTGTACTTTTGATTTTATTTACTCCCCACCGTTATCAAGTCATACGAAACAAAAACCGTTTTGAAGTGTCAGTCTTTCGGCGACACCAGTTGTTAGAAAAGATGAGGCAATCAAGAATTGTTAGTTGACAGATATTACTAATACTAACTACTCTTTGTCCAAAGAATCAATACTGAGGTGGTTGAAGTACTATTAGCATCTACACTCACTTCCAAAAGTTAAGCACGGAGAGGAAAATACCAATTTCTGGAAGACAATAAGAATTGAAGAGGATGCGATTCGCTGCAAAGGTGATATCTGCAGTTACTGTACGCCGAAGATTACATATGAGTGGACTGTACGTCCGGGTACCTCGAGTTTGTGTTTCTCTATTCATCCAATCAAGAGGAGCACAATTACAGTGTTACCGGTATTATGTCAATTGGAATGTGTCCGACTGGGGCAATGTCATGTTTACTGACGAGTCAAGATTTGCTCTGGAGCCAGATGACAAGCGTATAAGAATATGGCGTAAACAACAAACACACAATCGGTCCCAAAACATCACGCATTCCGAGGCGGAAGCATTATGGTGTGGGCAGGGATTTATTTCATTAGGATACCGCACCGACCTGCACATCTTTACAACAGGGTTCTTTGACGGCTGTCCGGTATCGAGATGAAGTCCTAGAAACCCATTGTGAGATTGTAAGCTGCAGCAGTTGGCCCTACTTTTGTTTTGTCTGATAATGCACATCCTTATAGAGCTGACATTGTCGATGACTACCTGGAGAGTGAAGGGATAGCGCGTATGGTGTGACCAGCATATTCGCCCGACCTTTATCCCACTGAAAATCTTTGGAACATTTCACACCTCCAGCCACTCTTATTCAGCTGGAAACTGCTCTACAAGAACAATGGCAATTGCTTAATTCTGTGGTGGTTGACCATCTAATTGAAAGCATGGTCACAAGGTATAAGATGAGGGGGGATCACATACCCTATTATTGTACTTTTTTTCCATTTTACACTATTTATTTTCACATTATACATAATTCTATTTAAGTCTCCAGTAAGTCATTATCTGATAACTTACAAAAATTTAATATTGTTTTCATTTCTGTATATAATTATTGATTTTGCTTTATGCAAACTTTCCTCCCGAATTTTATGTCGATCAAAGCAGTATTTGTTGACTTTTTGCATTTTACATCTTCGTGCTTAACTTCTGGAAGTGAGAGTGTATTAAAAGGCTGCATGGTACAACTACAAGAGAAGTTGTTTTAAATTGAAAAATGCTAACGCAATGCAATCAGTTGGCAAGAAAGTAACTCAACTTTTTTCTGTACAAAAAATGAACTTTAATTATTCACATATATTCCATTCCGTTCGATGACCTTCTGCCAACTTCACGATTCCACATTCATAGAACTTTTTTATCAGCAAAAAAGAGCAATTTGAGGTCATCATTTTTACCCAATTGTACACTTTGAAATAAATTACTATCCAATCATGCACAGTGGCTATGTGGAGGATGCGATATGACTTCCCAACCGAAGATAAGAACAGCATAATTAAATCATTTTTAAAGCCAAAAATGCACAATTTGCAAACATATAAGAATAAAGAAACTGAGATCACCGAGTGGATATATTCATATACTTTTGGTGTGGCCGATTACAACCAAAATACAAGGTGCACATCTAAATGTTATAGCAGTCATATATACAAAATTTCAATGTTCCAAGGCTACTCGTTTTTCAGTTATGCGAGATACATACATACATACCTACGTACCTATGCACAATTCTCTTCCGAATAAATTTTATAATTTTTTGAGGGAAAAGAGTAATTTATTCTATCCTTACGTAGAGATGTCATGCAAAAAGATCGTTAAATTGCATTCGATACCTGTCAAAACAGATATTTTAGTTAAAATACGATACCTGGAATTTTTCGCGATTACAATACAATACAAAGTCTGTAATCTGGACCTCAAATCACGCTCAAAGTTACAAACATTATGCGCATGCATAAACACATAATGCATTTATGCATTAATGTATAACGGACGGTATAAGCTAGGCTAAAATTATCTAAGGCATTTCAGTTTATGTTACAGATCGCGCTGTTCCTTAACCTTTTGAAGGGCACTGGTATATAATATATACCGGTTGTTTGTCAATTTTTTAACTTCGGAAAAAATTATAATTTCTCTACACCAAAAGCTATAATCGTAAGTTTCTAGTGTTTCCTTTCAATTCTAAATGGCAGCACCACCCTATGAATGCTCAATATTTTGCAGTTATGAAATTAATATACCTCGTTCCAAGATATCATGTTTGAAGATTGATAAATTCTATTGGAAGGAAAGAAAGAATTCAAAATCTGCAAATATATGATGTACACATGCTGAACCTTTTATATTTACTGCATTTCAATCAAAACTGATAATTAAAAGAAGATTACGTATACATTTTTAATACCGGTATGCGCCCCTACTGAGGGTATCTTGCCAATAAATGGCAGCACCAGGCTTCTTCTTCTCTACTCTGAGAGATAACAGCATTTCTTTACATAATAGTTTATGATGTAACAATTTGTTTATGATTAATTTACAAGCTGTTTAGGATTCAGTATTATGTTCATGAAGGGATGGGGAGTTTACTGACTCTGCACTAGGACTGAATACAAGTATATTTGTTTATTCTTTTTTTACTCTGGGCAAGTTTCATTTGTCTCTATTTATCTAAAATTTTAACTTCAGCACTTCACCCTTTCCCAAGAGAAAGACTCATCGATTTCAAAATTGCCATCTGGGGTCAAAATTTTACACAATTGTAGGCGTTAAATGTGGCATGTTAATTCCCAAAAGACACCCTTTGCTTCCTGTTTTCCAAAATCCCAGAATCCAATGAAAATGAAGGGAGGTGATTGACAACTGATTTGTTATTCGCGAGTCAAGCCTTCTTCCCTTTGTACGTGGATAAGACCACACAAAGAGAAAGCTCACTTAAAAATATGGGAAATGGAAGTGCACGGAAGGTCTATCTCTTAGTGAAATCTTAAAAACTGCTGATTTGAAAGCATGCTTTTATTCTTATCATCTTTGTTAATTTCAGATGAAAGACTAGGGAATACAAGATAAATTTAGGGTTATGTTGTTTTTGAAATAAATTTCACAGTTTGTGAAATGAGGGAAAATATTTCTAAAGCCCGTTTTAGATGCAAACTAGAATTTATCCAAAAGTTGAAAAGGAGCCCAAAGGAGTTGAAATTTAAATAAGAGCTTTCAGGTGTATAAATTAATAAAGTTGTTTAACGGTGTTTCTTCCTGAACAAAAAGATACATTACAACCTATATTTACAAAAATATAAAAAGGGGGCCCTTACGGTCCTTGATAACTTTAAGTGTGTGTGCGTGGTGGCGATTCTTCGTATTAAAGCATGAAACATGGTTTTTTTACATATTATCTAAAGCATAAAATAGGACTTCAAAAAATGCAACATACTTTCTCATCCGAGTCCTAGTGTTTCATTTTTTAATTTTTTGGCTCTCCTTGTAATATTATACTAGTTCAGTTACAGCATGATATGATTTACGCATGCAGTGTAATATTTACTAATTTTTCTTTATAAAATAATATTGAATTAAGGTTTTTACCCATATTTTACACAAGTATGTTCAGCCGGACTGCATCATCACAGGGCATAAAAACATGGATTTTATTATTAAAATTTTAAAAGTTTTTGTCTTCAGACTTGCATAACTATATTCAAGCACCCATCTCTATAGATGCACATCAAAGTATGCAAAATTAATTTGAAAATCAAAAATTAACAATTGGCACCTACCTGGATAAAAAATGTCTTAGAGGGGTGCCGGTATAAAATATATACCAGTTCTCAAAATTTAGGAAAAAATTATTTTATATACCACCCCTCAAAGGGTTAATCTTCTAATTGGATCCGGCTTCTTATTTTTTGCAGACTGTTAGAACAATTTTAGAAAGTTAAGCTTGAACTTTCGATTATGTCAAACAGTTTCCAATTCTCAAGCTGCCAAAGGATCTAGAAAGCGAAAGCACGTTTCGATGTCCATTAAACAAAAAGTGGATAAAGGCCTATCCGTCTTAAAATTATGCAAGAAATATGGCATCGGAAAGTCCGCTATATATGACACAAGAAAAAGGAACTTTTTGAATTTTTTGGTGGAAGCATCTTAAACAACTCACATTGAAAGAAATGTTTAATAAAGTAAACAAATAAATATTAAGTTTCTTTCTTTCTTTTTTTTTTTTTTTTTTTTTTTTTTTTTGTAAATTTTGATATCCGTCTCAAAATTATGTGAGGAGTATGACATCGCAAACTAAAGATGAAATTTTTTCAGTTATGATTTTTTCAGATTTTGTACAGAAATGTGGAGAAGCGGTAATAAAAGCGGCAACGCCCCAAATCATCAATCAATGGACAGGGAAATCTATAGTATGGTTCTAGATCCAAAAAATACCACTTCCGATAGTGACAGAGAAGTTCTTAAAAACGAAAAAATTTCAAAAGTTAGTCAGTATTCTCAACACAGCAATTACAGGACTTGAACAGTGGAGCTTTGTAACTGAACAAGAAATTATGTCTGTTTATAGAATTAAAGAGAAAATATTAGCACAAAAAACGAAGCAACTTAAACAACTTACATTGAAAGAAATGTTTAAAAAAGCTTATGTCTGTTTATAGAATTAAAGAGAAAATATTCGCAAAAAAAAACGAAGCAACTTAAACAACTTATTTTAAAAGAAATGTTTAATAAAGTAAACAAATAAAAATTAAGCTTTTTTTTTGTAAATTTTGATACTCCTTAGATCATAATTGCTTTTTATTTCATAAATTACGGTTTCATATTTTTAATTATATAATTTCTGCATGCCCTCTTACCAGATTTAAATTGATGGTCTATAATCCGGAATCGCTTTGGCGAGTCAGGATTACGGACTTTGTACTGTATTATAAATATTCATACATATGCTCATAATAAATGCAAATATGAACTGACCACATGGAACAAGAATATAAATTATTAAAATCTTGATAGAAATTCAAATGCACCAGAATTTTTTACCGCTTTTGCAATTCTTTGACCAATAGAACGACGTGCACCTGTCTGTACTCACGCGCACCAATGGTTATGTTAGAAAGGGACAAAAAGCTATTTCTGGGAGTATGGTTCACCATCTGACATTCCATATAAGGAAGAAAAGTTATTTACTTAGTTTCGGCTTTAATACAAAGAAAAGTGCGCTTTCGTAAAAAAAAAAAAAAAAAAAAGTGCTTTAGAGAAAAAGTAAGCACCTATAAGGGCTTTTATATTTTATTTTCAAAATATAAGGACTTATAAGCACTTGTAAGGACTGCTACAAACCCTGAAAAAAGTAAAAAGGAGAACTGGTCTGAGTTTTCCCATCACAGAAGTTTGATGGCATTACACCTGCTATAGTTAGCAGCTAGTCCCCCCCTCACGTTCTCCTTTAAGAAACAAAAAATTTTAAATGTTTGAGATTTTAAATTATGTCCAAAGGGGTTGCTTTTTTTTAATATTTTGTGTGTTACCTTTATTTATTAGATTTCATGTTCTACATACTCAAACCAAATTCAGTTCAACAGAAAAATTGCAAAATAATTTTAAAATGACCATATCTTTAAAATTTCCGATACCGACTCTCACACACTGGAGATTTAAAAAAAAATCCCTCCCCCCACACAGCGTTGCCTTTGCTCGCATTGAAATCATTTAGTTTTTCAATTAAAAATTCATTATTCCACATTCCATATTCTATGGAAGATTACGTAATTCAAATTTTGATAGCTCTAGGTACTGCTATTTTATCACACTGCTAGAAACATACATACATTCATGCAGATTCTTCATTACTTAATTTCTTTAAATATAATACAGGTACATAATATTTGATGGCAACAATTTGAAAAGAGATTTACAGTTTAGTTTTCAACGCAAAATGCCAAAATGAAATTAATAGTCCTTCAGGGCAAATTACAACATATAAAAAATCTCAATGAAACAAACACACCAGTGTCTTTTTTACCTTAAACAGGTGCCAATTTCTTTACACCAATAAATCTACCAAAACCAGAAGCACAGAACAGAAACTGATGCTCATATATGAAGGACAAAAACCATGACTTAACTGATGTGAAAACAGTCACTATTTAGCACCATTTACTAGCATTAAAAAATTGAAACAAACCATTCCGTTTTTAAGTTATACATATGCGACACTAGGCAGTCATTGTGTTGTACCTATGTGACATTTGTCCTGAAGGGGTGAAACTTCAGATGCTATAAAGCTGCCAACCTCATTTTGGGCTTAAGCATTTCACAGCACTATGTTGGTAGCATACCTGACATTATGTCATTAGTTCATTTGTGGGTATCAATTATTCTGATTAAGATAAAACAATTTTCAGCTCAAAATGAGAAAATATATACATCCTTAGCATAGTTTAATCTTTCAGATTCTGAAAATAGCATATTTCTAAAAGAAAAAACTTTTTATCCTCCCTACTCGAGGGCTTTGGCTAGAAGCTTAGGCCTCGGGGAACTGCCCTGGTGATACTTAGCACATAACTGAAGTGTTTGTTAAGACTGAAATAAAAGTGTTACTAATGTAATTAGCTACAATATGTAGCTGCTAATTCTTATATTATGACCTCATTCATTACTGTAATACTTTTTAGATCTTTTGTTTTTTCAATTTAAAATGTCCCTTCCCTAAAAACAAAACATTTAAGAAAATTACATTCATTAATACACCGAAAACATATAATGCATAAATAATTTTACTGCCTGAAAAAAAAAAAAAAGACACAATCCATATAACTAGATGGAAATGGTACACAAATAAATTTTTGTAAACTCAAGAAATAAAAATATTAATTTAAGACCAACTTTATTATATAATTTACAATGCACTGTTATTTTGTAGACTAAAATTTCTTTATACAAAATTGCACTAAATGGCAATGGGTTTTTAACAAACTCATTCAAAGTGCATCTGTATCACAGTTTCAGCAAATATATACTTGATTAATTATAAAATTTAAATACGAAATATAAATTAAAATATTAGTTCTGGAAATAGCACCAGAAAAGTAAAAAAATAACTTTAGGTACAGAAAAACGTATTTTCAATTCTTGAAAGTCCTATAGAGTTCTCTATTCAAAATATGGCTAGCTTCTCAGCAATGTCAATTGGAGATAACTGAAACAAAAAGAAAAAACTTAATATTCCTCTAAATTAAAGACTTCACATTACTATTTACATTTATTGTAAATAGCAAAAAATTAAAATCAGGCAAAATAAAACCCTTATTTTGGCACAGATTTTAGGGTGGTCAAATATAAGTCTCCCTTGCTGAAGTGATCAGCCATGAAATTGACATACTCCAGAGGCAATTTTATCATTCAGTTTTTTTAATTTGTCTTGTTACTTAATGAGCACACTTTGTATAACTAATAATAAAACAAAAATGAGAGTGGCGGGGGGGGGGGGAATCTGAAAGCTTTCAGATTTTATATTGTGGCCAAAGTTTAACGTTTTGAGTTATCTTTATTTATTAAATATTATGTTCAGGGAACTGAAACCATAAAATTCAATTCAACAATATCAGAAAATAATTTAAAAAGAGTATATCTTTAAACTTTTTATATCCAGTCTTGCACTCTACAGATAAAACTGTTTTTATTGTGCAAAGTTTATTTTACACTTTTTTGTACAAAAAAGAGTTTTCAGCAGTTCTAGCAATAAAAACGGCAATTTATGTAACACCCATTCTTTTATTCAACCAAGATTTAATACTTTGTCAAAAATATTGTCAAGCACATAGATCATTTCCCCCTTTTACTATATGTGCCTGAAACAAGATATTTCTATAATAAAACCTCTTTAAATTATCATTTTGTTCTTATTACCCTTATAGGTAGATAATATTATTACTATTAGGGAAGTGGGTGTGAGAAGTTTCATTTTTGGCAGTATGGAAGCATGACAAAGAAACTTCGGAAACCCTTGAACCAATGTCAAAATAAAAATTGCTACTTTGCTAATTTTAAGTTCTGCATTGGCATGTTTTTGCTTCCTAACTGGAAAAATTATTCAGCAAAATATTTAAGCGCATTACTGCTAAAAATTAATCATCAAATTAAAGATCAGTATTAAGTATCTAATTTATAAAATTAAAAAATAGTGTGACAGCTGCGAACAAAATTCTACTCTGACAAAGAATGTGAAAGAGCTATCTGCAAAGGGCAAACTCAGTTCCAATGTAAACTTTTCTGAAAAATGAAAACCCAGTAGTCTCCACAAACCTAAATCACCATACTTTAGTAGCCTCACTGCAGTCTCTGTTGTCTGTATGTTCATCAATATTACAGCAGCAAATTTATATCCCAGAACTACCAATAATTATTTCATTTTGGTTAGATGTGATAGCTGTTCTCACATGAAACTTCAATACTTTAAACACAACATATTTACATTATCCAATTTTAATAATACTGCAAAACACTGTTTTAACACTAATTTATGATCCGAAAGCCCAATTTTGCTAAATTAAACCATACAGCAATAAGCACATGCATGCAGGGCACCTTAAACATCATCAGTTACTTGTAAACCAAGGCTACACACTGATCTCTCATAAATTTGCCAATTTCATTCATGAGCCCTTGGATGTATTTTTTCAAATTTGATGTGGAGCTATAGGACAAGGGAAAAAAATTAATTGATAAAACACAAACATTATCTATACTACTGCCCAAATGGGACCGCGGCTGGCCACTCTGACCGCTGAACCTCAGGGCCTGGGTTCAAATCCCAGAGGAGGCATGGATATTTGCAAATGTAGTATCTGTGCACAACTGGATCACTGAAAACGTAGTCCTCTTGAAAAGTTGGTGTTAAAACCTGGAGGCAGAACTAAGCAAAGTCTTACTGTCACCACCTGTAGTCTTGCCAACGACAAGAGCAATAAGTCTTACTGTCACCACCTGTAGTCTTGCTAAAGACAGAAGCAATCTTGCCTCCTTTCCATGATGAATTTCACAGGCTTGTTCTCCATATCAGACATACAAAATTAGTAACAATTATTTTTACTAGAACTGACACAGCAAATGAAACGTTCTTGCAAAAGTCACAGTGTTTTTGTTGGACAGTTTAAATTTGAAATGAAATTAACGTGAATTGGGGGCGGAAAGAGGACAAACAGTTATTTTTATTTATGAACTATATACATTAGTAAACTGGATGCATGTGATATTTCCCATTAGTGATTGAACTGATTCATTTAGTTAGAAATCTTGCTGGTTAATTTAGGTAAGCAGCAACAGCTGCAAGAACTCCCAAAATTGAATTCTTAGAAAATTCTTAGGAAGCGAGCAGGAAAAGGAAAAAATTTTTTTATCAAGTACCGCAATGAGGAAGTACATATTTGATGATACAAAGGTTAGAATTAAGAACGTTTTTAGAAGATGTAGATAACCCTAATGTTTCACTAACAGATAGATTGTGGAATAATCTTTAGAAACTCTTCTTTCTACACCGTATATACCCCCCCCCAAAAAAATCGGAAGAATCGTTTTTTCAAACCAGTACCTAAAAGAAACACCATGTTGATGGTTTTACAAAACTGGCACATGATTTCTCTGCATCAAGAATAAATGTACAACAGTTTTAGTTGCCAGTTAATTTTTAGTCTAAAAATTTAGAAATTACCCGATACACCTCTTTTGCTATTTGGATTAGGGGGGAGGCTAGGGAAAAACGTCTACATATTTTGATTTCAATATTAAAAATACATTCATTTTAAGAAAGAAAAATCTTTTTCAATCCATAATGCACAAATTAACTAACTGGCAAGCAAAATAAAGACATAATAATACAATAAAAAATTACTTTCCTAAATAATTACAAACCTAGATTTATTACATTACCTTTTTCTGTGGAAATACATTGAAAGTTTCAGCTGATAAATGTGCATAGTGGCGAACATCTTTATCAACATCACTTTGCAAAGAACACATAACTTGCAATAAAAGTTCATAATGGGCCTTTTGAATACTAGGTAGATAATCTGGAATATAAAAAATCATGCTGTAATTCAAAACATTCAGTAACTTCAAAATACAAAGGTTAATAAGAAATTAAAAGTCTACCTTCAATGTCCAAGTTCTTAATGTTCTCAAAACATTAATATACTATCACTGAAATTATGCATAACAGCAGCATGCTGCTTTTTAATAATTAACTACACAGAAATCTGAATTTGAAAATTCTCAAATAAACTGACATTTTTGAAAAATTACATCTATTAGATTTGAAGTTGTATGCTATCAGCAAAATAAATGCATTAACTTCATAAAACAGATATCCACCTATGTCATCCATCTATATTTCAACACCAAGTGTTTTTTTACATGAGATTTATAAGCATTTACCTTGAATTATTTTCAAGCTGTTTAGCAGTTATCAAATATAAAATTTCTATCTCATCAACTATTGCAATGATACACACATCAATGATAAAATTCTTTGAAACAGTTGCTAAGCTTTTCAAAATTCAATAACTGAAAAGCATACAATACGAATGTTTTCGTAACTCGTGTGAAATGTTACTATGCACGCAATAAGTAACATGCTGCAGTTAAATGATTATCAAAACAAAATTATTATATCAACATGATCCTATAAACTTACCAAGGGGTAAAAGTGTGAGAGATAAGCACCTTGAGACAGCTAAACGCACATTCGGTACACTGTCCCAGGCTAAGGAGAACAGATTAGGTACAATTTCTTCAACAAATACATCTCTAGGTACAGCCTGCTTGATTGCAATTTGCTGACACAAAAGAACATACCTATATATAAAAAAGTCTAAATAAGGATATTGAAACAAAAGCAGAAGAGTTTATTAGTTACTTAACAACAAAATTTGTAAAATATTCATTAACTTATTCGGTACTTTGTTCATGCTCTCAGTTTCAAGATGCAGATTTATCATGTCACCCCTATGAGGGCTTCTTTTTATAATCATTCACAACCAGAACAAATACTTATGGGCTGTTAAGATAGCTAAACAAATACTTTTTGCCAAATCATAACTGCAATTTTTGTAGCAGTTCTGATAATCAAAAAGTACCTGTTATTTGTGTATATATAACCTTAGAAACATGATCTCATAATCTACAAAATATTTTATCTGACAGAAATGACTATCACAACATGCAACACATTAAGAATCTCTCAAAACAAATTACTTAGATAAAAAGATAAATAAGTCTTCAAAATACCCTTCCTTAATATACGTTTTTCAGAGATTTTCCTTGATAAGTTTCTCATGTACACGGTATATGTATGCAAAATAGATAAATATTTGCTGTGGTACTTTATACTTTTTTTTGACTCAGAATTAATTAGAATCAGAATGATAAATAAAAAAAATTCAGTTCCTTGCTATTTAATATCTACATATTGTTTTGAAATGTGAATTCAACTCATTGTAGCATAATTATAGAAATTTACCCTTTACATACACATTCTTTGACAGCTTGTTATTTAAAAATCCATATTTCATAAAACATATCTCACAGAGCATCGGACAAAGTACAAGTTAACTCATGAAATGAATTCACACAAATTGAAAATATTACTTTTTACATTAATTCTGAACATTTGCCAACAATCTGTTAAAGCCAAAACATTTTTCAGTCCAAGCTGAATGAATCAAACAGCTGAGTTTTAAATCCATTGCAAAAGGAAGCAGCTTTCTTTGGAAGAGATGAAGAAATAATAACATTATATAGTAAATATTTTACTGAAAGGTACTAGATATTAGTCTCGAAAACCAGGAATTTTTGTGATGCTATTTCCATTTAAGAATAAATATATAAAGAAAAATTTAGATTTTTCATGGATTGTTATAATGTGAAATACAGTATTTGAAAAGGTGTAATATACACTATTAAATACAGAATTTAGACATTTTTTAGAATTGGTTTTCTTTATACGTTGCACTGCCCTGTGTTCTCTTTTACCTGAAGCACTAAAAAAAAAATTTAACTCATATAAATCTACACCCAGCAGTTTAGTAATTTACTTCTAGCTGAGGCACCTTAAAAATAGATAATTTAACAGATTCTGATGGACTATGCCACATCACACTGCTTCAAAGCAGTAAAGGGTGAAATAATACTCAACTAAAAAGAATTCCTGATTTCACCAACAATACTTGATGGTTACTTAAAGATACCAGCTCCTCAATTTCCCAGATTACTGAAACATTTTCGAAATCACGGACACAGTAGTGCTAAATTTGGAACAACTTATGAAATCACATACTACAGTTTTAAAAATGTAGTTCAATATATTAATAAAAAAGTACACAGGCCATCAGAATTAAAGGATATAAATTACAATTCTTGACAGTTGATTATTTGCAAAATATTCAAATTACGGTATTTGACAGCATATAACACGCACCCTTATTTAGAAGGCCACACACAAGGGAAAAAAAGTTTCAATCAGGGTTGCCACTCAAACAGGAGAATGAAATTCCCCGACTTTTCCAGGAAAATTCCAGTCTATCCGCGTAATGTACATTGGCTGTGCTAAGAGGTAAATTAATTATGGTATTACTTGTACTGTGTAAAAAATTCACTTAATTATTCAATAAATCTCAGAGGACATTTATTCTTAATTATTTCTTGGTACACTTTGTTTGATAATTTTGTTTACTTTTCCCACTTAAGAAACTTAATAAAATTTAAGATATATACATTGTATAACAATTATACGTTTTAATTATCACTCATGATAATCAATAGTTCAACATGAGGCTAATCCGGTTCTTATAAATCACAACGCAATGCTAAGAGTTAGATTTTAGGTAAATTTAATTTGTGTGAGGTGTCTTCTTAAAAGGCACCTTAACACTTGAAAACACAAATATAATTATAATAGGAGTTGTTTTCTCCACTGAAGATTGAAATCAGAATCTCCCCAACCTGGAATAAAATAAGGCTTTTTTTGCAGACATTCTGTAGCTAAATGAATGAAAGAAAATGCTTTCATTCATAGCTAAATAAATAAAAGAAAGAAATCTATTTAATTATATTTTTTTACTAAATTGAGGTATTTTATATTTATTTCGCAGCAGACATATAAAGATAATTACTTAAAAATTGAATTAGAATAATAAACAATACTTTCGCAAATATAGTTATATTACATGGTTAGCCTAGATGACTGATTGCTATTTTTTATTTTACTGCAAAATGACAAAATATTTATTTAAAAAAAAAAAAGATTTTGCGGTAAAATCCTAGTATACGGTTATGGTGGCCTTCGCACGATTTTGAAAATTGTCGCCAAATCCCGCTGGAGATTATTCTAATCAAAGAACGTCTACGTAAAGAAGAAAAGGTTCCATACACGTAAATGCTATTACGCGGCTAGAAAGCGGAGGGAAAATTTGCGAAGGGATTTGGCGACGGAACCTGGCGCCCAGAATTTCCCTCTCCGCGATGTGTACAGGAAATTGAGAAACACATGTTACCATGAAGGTTAGAATCCTTTGACAAAATAGAATTTCTTTCTTTGACAAAAAAAAACTACGAAAATCCGTTTTTAAATTATTGCGAAAAATCCAAGAAGAAACGTTTTATCAAGAACGTTTTTCTTGGATTTTTCGCAATAATTTTAAAAACGGATTTTCGTAGTTCCCCCCCCTCAAAATAACTAATCCATGAATTAATTTACTTCCCCCCAAAAATATTTTCTTTTCCTTTAGAGTTTAAAGAAATTTTAAACGATATTCATTTTATGAATTCTTGATAACGTGACCTTTGAACTTCAACACCGGTTTCAAGCTTTGGCGACAGATATATCGCGCATGCACAGATATTTCCCTCTATGATGGAACGGAGCCACGTTTGTTGCAGAGAGGTTCTTTCTTTACAATACATATTTTTTGATTCTAACCTTCATGGTACCGTATACTTGGATTAAACCCATTTTGTTTTACGAGAAAACAGGTACTTTATTAGTTCATGTACTGCACATGCGATTTTCGAGGTTACTGGAAACCAAAAGTTGCGGGAAACTTGATTTGCCTTTCTAAAAGACAATCAAATAGAAGCTGCGAAAATTTGCTCTATGCCAGCTGCCCAAATGACACTCACGTGAAACACAATTCGCCAAAAAGTGATCTCTTCCGACGTTGGCGCAAAACTCGCCTTTTTTGGCGGGATCGTTGTATGAAATTCCCTGACTTGATTCTCAGATTTTGACTGATTGTATGAAATTCCCAGATTTTGACTAAAACACTTAAATTCCCTGACTTTTCCCTGAATTTTTTGTTCAAATTCCGAATTCCCCCGACTTTTTCCAGTTTTCCAGGTAGCGTGGCAACCCTGTTCAATAGTCTGTGCGACGGCGCGGTACCACAATAACTTAAAATGTGTTTCTTTTAGTTCTCCCATCTCGTAAAAGCCAAATAAACAATAATTGAATGTCATATTTTTATTAAGGAAAATTAACAAACGGCAAGCTATTTTAAAATATGTAAATTTCAATAATGAATAAATAAATGAACGGCAAGCAATCAAACATAATACAAAATAAAGCAGAAAAAACAAAAAAACAAGATTCAGGAAAACGTTGCCTATCAGAAATTAGACTTTAATCACTTTCAAAACCATAAAAATCCTTTTCACTATCATCATCATTGAAAACGAGAATAGCGTCATCACTACTCGTCGTCTTCTGTTCCGTCAAGAGCATTACTGATTCTGCACTTCTTAAAGGACTTAACAATGTCCTACAGTTGCCAAGTACGTATCATTTTTTCGGTAGGTGGTGGACCGAAATGCTTTGCTGCTGCTCTGTTTCCGTGCACTTTGGCGTAGTTTAACACTCCTAGGTTAAACTGAACTGTATAGCTTATCTCGTTCCTGTAGGCATACATTTCAGGGTTTTTAAAACAAATGTTTTAAGCACCGATACCGACATGTGTGTCGGCTGAGTAAGAAAGTCTAGTAAAGAAGGAAAGACTACATAGACGTAATGTGACCGTCGAACCTGTTCGAACTTCAAATCAGCTTCGAGCTTTGGTGCTTTTTGGCGACAGATATTTCACGCATGCGCAAAATAATTATGGCACATGCAGAAAAAGTTATGTGTGTATAGACCTTTATCCGGGCTAAAAATAGCATTCAGTATTGAAAGTTAACCTGTGTCCTTCACGTATAAGATGCAGTTAACTTTTTTGTGACCAAATTTATTAAAAAAGTGTGTCTTATATGCTGTCAAATATGGTAAAACTAAACTTCAGGAAATTGGAAAATTATGAAAAAAGCAAAGTCACCTTGGACCTGCATACCTCATATCTTGTGGAACTGCATGCCACAATCCTGAAAGTGCACTTTTCAGCCCACTGAAATTTGGGTCCTAAGGCATCCCACACATGATCAATTTGGGTGTGTAAGGGGGCCAATCCATACGGGTCATACTCCCGTTTGCAAGTATTCTGACACCACATAAGCTCGATGAGGTCAAGCACTGTCATCCAAGAGCAAAAAATCTGGACCAGCAGCACCCCTAGCCTTGGATTCCAATACCTTCTCCACATACCTGTGAGCAGTTAGAGGACCTCCTTAAAAGATATGCAGCTGGATGCGGCCATTTGTCATGATTTCTCCTCAAAACATTAAACCACAGTTATGAATACACGATATTTCACTAACTAGGGAAGGCAAGTTACGGCAACCTTCTTCTCTCCAGATCAAAACAGGTCTAGAATCACTGTTCAAACAATATCCCGGTTCATATGACGGCAACAGCTTAGACGGGGAAACCATTG